ATCCAATTAAATTCTCACAAAATTCATTTTAAAAGAGTTCAAAATGTATCTGTAAAAACAGTTGCAAGACGATTAAAATTAGGTTCGAATACTGGTAGTGATATCGGAAAGCTTGGAGGCTTATGCAAATCTCTGTTCTTCAATCTTCTCATTATTCAAAGCTTATCCCCTTCTTCCGGTCCAATCATCCCTACCCGGTCCCGTTCTCACATGTCTGTTCTCATCTTTTTCTATTCTCTTTCTCATACCAATCTCAGGTCATTGCATTTAAAATGTAAATCTTTTGTTTAAAAGGGGCGTTGAAACACATATGGCATGTTTAAAGCATGTTTAAATCCAACCTAACAAGCAGCTGTTGCAGTTAAAAACCGTTGTTATTCTTTTCTTTCCTGTTTTTCTGCCTTTTCTAAACTAGTCGATACCGTATCCACAAGTCAAAATCTGACAAGTTAAATTGATTTATTCAGAATGCAATGAAATGGTAGTTTGTAGTTCAAAATGTTTAATCTATAAAATGAAACAGTTCGAATTGAATTATGTTGAATAGTAAGGTGAAAGACGCACAATGGACATGAAATGGAATTAACTTAATCTTTGTCAATTACGTATAACATAATATCGTTTCTGTTCTAAATTATATCTTAAAAGAAATTCAGTTATTAGATTTTAAGGACAGAACGAAAATATTTAATAATATGCAACAAAATAGATTAAATATTTTTTTTTTCCAAAAGAAAAAAGATCGAAGGAAATTGATCCATGCCTAACACAAATATTAATCCCAAGTGAAATCATTGCAATTGTTATGGCACGAAGTATCCATTTTGACTTTCCTATTCTACTCCTAGCACTATTCAATTTTCTTAATTCATTCTTCCTTCCTAGCACTGTCATTTATACGCCACCCACAATCCCTCATCTTATTCCTCCGATATATCACAACCGATACTTTTTATTTGTCATTATTATATTGGTCTGCGAAATATTAGCGCATCCTTTCACGCCCAGAATAGTTTCTTTAAAATTTTCATCAATTTTTTGAATTATTTTAAGCAGACTGCTTATTGTTCCTCTTTAGTTTGAGTACTAAAAGATGAAAGATCCTTTTTTTTCATCCTTTTTGAATTGACACCACCATCTCTCTGATCATAGTTATCTTCTGCACTGTCCAACGTCACTTTATCCTTGAAATGTTGTCAACTCCTTTGAGCACTTCATCTAAGAACTTCTTCAAATTACTGCTCAAATTACTGCTACTCTTGCAATCCTAAACAAAGAGAGATTCGTTTGCAAACTTTGGGCACTTATGATAAAATGTTTGAAACATTCTATAATTATCATTGATTTTTGCACTTTGACAATTTAATCTTTTTTACCACAGGCCTACTGAAGCAGATTTTGCTTCTTGAAAGTAATGCCTTAGACAGAAAATCATCTTTTCAAATTTTTTTTTCAAAAAAAATTATTCACACTCAATTTTTTTCTGAATATTTTTATTGAAAATGCCTAACAAAAGGAGAAAATGATGATAAACATATTTATAACAGTAAACATTTATAAATGAAAGAAAATTGAGATGATATTTGCACTTGTTTCGAATGTCCACTGACTTCCCGTAGGAAGAACGAAGCGAAATAATCATTCGTGATAATCATTTGTGGAATAAATGATATACCCATTAACAATCCAATTTTATCGCTTTGCAGAAAACTGACCACAAACAAGAATCTGTGACAGTCTAATCGATGGCCTAAATACTCTCCCAACCTTGAACATTTCATGTAAAGCTCATACAAATATTTTTCGCTCAAATTTCCTCGAATTATGGTTATCTTGTTTAATATTTATGAATGCTCAGAAAAAAATATATTCATTTTCAAAAGAAAATTATTTTCATTTAAATAGAAGTATTGTTTGTTTAATTGGTCCAAAGTCTTCTACAATATTTTTAACAGTATTTATCTTGCTTTTTTTTTTCATATTTGAGTTATATCATGTGTTTTTGTCCATTAGACGAAAGTATTTAAATCTTTTCTGCCAGATAATCATAAGCATGGTGAAAATTAGTTAGTTTTATAGGTTTTAGTTGTTAATTTTTTGGTTATCATAGCTGGACCTGGGTTTTGGTTGATCCAATATCAAGGTCGTATGTTTCGTCAGTCTGAGTTAACAATGAAGGTTGCTTGTCGTCAATGGTATTGAATATGGAAATAGTAAATTAGTTTTAACCTATGCAAATTAGTTTTCGTTATTTCTTGCTTTCAAAACGGTAATTGCAATTTTACTATTTTTCCTCTCGATAATTCTCGACTTCGTAAACTCACTTCAAAAAAACTCTATATCCAGTCTTTAAATAACCTCCTCCATTTAATATGTTATTTGTTTGCTTATACACATTCTTACACATATACTATTCATTCAGTTTTCACTTATTAACTTTATGCTTATTACAATATACTATAATCAGTGAGTGAGCTCCAAGTAACAACTCTTCCAGATGTAATATGCCGTTTGTTCCAGCCTTCGAATTACTTAGTCTAATGGAATTACTATGAATAGAAAGTAGTTAGCTGATTGATTCATACCAGAATGCTAGTTGAAAGGATATGTCCGAACTTCTAGCAAATTAACCACTAGCTGCGTTGATGGACATTGGATGACACTGCACCATTTATAAGAGTGACAAATGACATCTATGTTTCGCAGTCTCTTTCTCTTTTGATTATTGCTTCAAACAATATGTTTTGTTGTACTGATGTCAATTTATGCAGTAGCTTTACTTAACCCAACTTTCTCATTTTACCTCACCTAACAATGTCTCTAATCAGAAATTTTCTTCTTACTGATCTGATCTTTCATGCTTATACGAAAAGTTCTCTTTACATCATTTTAGTTAATATTATGTAAATCTGATATTTTGACAGTGTTTGTTATCATTTTTATTTTCAATTTATGTGTTGCTGAATTACCCATTCACAACTAAATTTAATTGCTAGCTCAGTTTAAGTGTTTATCCAATGCTAACGAAAGCTTTGAGATATTCTGCTGAATAATTTATAGTCTTTGGAAATCAAACTATCAATTCCAATCCTTTGTTTTTCAAATAGAAAATTATGTAAATATCTTAGCAGACGCATAGGAAGATAATTTGATTAAAGTTTTCGGCAACTATAACGAAAGTTGGTTCATAAAATTTTTCAAATAATAACCATTTCATTGATTTAATTTCTATTTTATTTACCGCTCGATTTATCGTTTGAAATTACTCCAAGAATTTTGTGGTGATTACCTGCCTTCTGCTTCATATTCTTCAAATGTGACAGGAAATATTTTCAATTGAAAAAAATAAGGTATTTTAGTGCTGAAATTCTGTGATACAATTTAAACTCCGATTTCAGGCAACTATTCAATTCATTTTCTAATTCATTAAGCTCATTATCTCAATGTTTTGCATCTTAAATAAATTATTTTCATGTAATTCTCAAATGTAAAAATCCAAAACTTTTCCAAACCAGAAGTTTATTATTCTGTGCCCGTACTGTTGTAGTGTTTTTGCAAAGACTCCTAAATTTAAATTTAAAATTCTCAAATTTAAAAGCAAGTTTCTTGAAGTTCCTTCAAGAATGAAGTTCATTTTCTAGTCAGGACATTAGTTAATCTTTTCATTCTCTAAGTTCTACAGCCTTTTTTTTACGGAAACAATTTTTAATGAATCAAAAGTAGTAATTTTTGTCGGATGTTGAAATTGCTGTTCATATTCATTCCTTCTTTGCTGATTCGCCTCCCGATAGGTATTTGAATAGAATAGTCCAAAATATTAATAACTCATTCTCATTAGAGAATTAATTTATTTGCAATTTATATGCATGCGCCTACTGTGGAATGAATACTAATTGAATCAATTAGGACATCTCAAACTGCATGGATTGCTTATTGGGTGTCTTAATTTGATGTCTCTCAGATTTTGACAGTCGTAAGTGTGCGCTCAGCATACCCATATAAGATTTTTTTGTTTCCGGCTAGCCTGAATAATTAATTTTTGCCTCAACGAGACCAAAGTTCATCATTTGTTTCTCTTGGTTCATACAAGCAAAAACTGAGCTTTTATCAATTTTTCATTTCTCTAGATATCCCAAAGACAGCTTTATTAAAAACAAAAACCGAATAGAAAAGTAGGATCTAAGGAAATTCTATTTGCTTATTTATATGTATATTTTATCAATATCTTCTCATGTTTTCCTTTACATACATATTTTAATGAAATATTGAAATTTGTTAGGATTTATTCATACATCGTCCAAACATTACTTTCTAGATTTTAGTTCTGAATCCATATTTTTGTTACTTTTTGCACAGCTCTTTTGTGCAAAAAGTACTTAGAACATTATTTGATTAACCTAAAATTAAGAAACCGATAAGCACAATTAGCTTTTAGCAATTATCAATAAACCGATCGTGAACAAGTTTTTTTGATCTTATTCTGTTGCGATTCAGTTGCACTTGGAGCTCAGCACTTGAATGAATTTCTAAAAATCATATTTAAAAACGTCTATGGAGTTAAATTACTTTTAATATCCTCCACAACAAAATGTACTACGCATTTAAAATACAAATGTTAGTGATATGGTCAGTTTTCTTGCATACTAGTTCAAAGGATAAGAAATGTTGACAGTTAGTTCAACAGCAATAGGCTTTTATAACTTCTCTTTTGATCAACTCGGTCAATAAAGAAAGTTTTTTTTTTTTTTTGCATGAAACATTAAAAAAGAATGAGGACAAAAGAGAACTTAACTCATCTTATAATAAGTCTGAAATTAATCTGCTAGTAATGATCAACTTACATATTTAAGTAAACCAAAAATTTTAATAATTTACTGCCTATTATTAAAATACTAATTATTCTTCATTCATATGTATTAAATACTTTTTAGCAAAGAGATTGTTGCTGCTCGATTTGTTAGCAGAATAAAATTAATTGGAAATTTCAGATCAATCAGGAAATGACAATACCTACTGATTTTCGTTTTACCGGATCCCTTCTCATTCTCTCCGTTGTGTTGCAAATTCCTAATATCGCAACAATAACAAACCCAGTTTTTGGCAATGATGAAAATTCAATGGAGCACGGCGTTCATTATGGTCGAACGAATTTTTCATGCTTCAATGGTGGCTCATTGATTAATGTTAGCTATTCTGTTCCTAAGCAGTGATAAATATTGTTTGACGAGAATTTATTCTCGAACAATTTTAATGCTTCCAACTTTACTGTCACTTTTTTGAATTTTGTTCCAAGTTTTTCATTAATTTGGATTTTAAAATAACCACGGAAAGAAAATATGAATAAAGTGAAAGAATATGAAGGGGTCTGAATCCAGAAAACAATTAAGATTTTATTTAATTGTATACGAAATATTGATTCACTTCCCCCAGTGGTTAATTGAAAAATCGATAATCGATACTTCCAATTTTTGAATATTTCACTTTCAATTTATGCAAATGACATTAAAACTTTATTTGGTAGAACAAAGATATTGTTCAGCCAAATGAAACAGGAGAATTGTAAAATTTTCCACCATAGAATTGCCATTCCTAAAGAATTTTTTTGCGAAAAGTTTCCGCATGGAATTTGGAAATGTTCTTCAAAACATTTCGATGACTTCCATCATTTCAAATGAGATTATCTCATAACCAATCTAGCATCTATCACGATATCTTAATATTAATATTTACATTATGCAAAATGACCTCGAACTTATCTTGCACATTGAGCTGTGATTTACTTTGACAGAAAATAAATGCTGAATGTGTGTGCTGATCATTAGAAATATCGATATTATCAATTTGTTGGTAAATTGCAATAATAGCTTCAAGAAGCTTAACTGATCTAAATGGTTTCAATTATATTACTTTTGTTAATGATGATTCTAATTTACGGAATGTATTAAATATTCCATCTTGTTTCTTTATCAGTACGACCAATTAAAGTTTATTTTATTTGTAGGGCAGATGCCATTGTCAAGAACGATTTGAAGGTGAAGCATGCGAAATTGAACCATGCTTACACGGTGGCAGAAAATCGAAGGCCGGCAAATGCCATTGTCCGTATGGTTTAACCGGTAATCATCCTTTTTAGAGATCTAGAGTAAAACATTTTACACAATCAGTCATTACCACAATTTTACAGAAATGAGCAAAGTTTCATGCTGACAGTTTCAAGCTAAAAAACGATTATCAGGTAACAATAATTCATCCACTGATTTGTAAAATATTTTTCAGGTGAAAGATGTGAAATGGTAACACAATGTATCGAGGGCAAGGGAAAACTGGAAAATGGTCGGTGTAAATGCGAAGACCGATGGACCGGAATATTCTGTCAGTCTCGAATGTGTCATAATGGAATTTCTGTTGGATCAGGAGAGCAGGTAAAGATGAAACTTAAGATTATAAGATATTTTATAAAACCTTGAATATTTATAAAATTTCGATTTTCTAAACAGAATTTCTCTAAAGATTTGGAATTAAAATAAATTTTGCACCGAACTGGTTGGCGAAGACTTCAGAAAAACAAGTTTCGCTTATTTATTTGTTATACATACAAAGAAATTCAACAAATAATGTTTTTCCTTCAGATAGGTGGCTTTTGTCTTTGTGACATTGGTTTTACTGGTCCATTTTGTGAAACACCAATCGAATGCAATCACGGTAGTATTACGGTCGAGAATCTCTGTTCATGTGCACCGAACTGGGTTGGTGAAGACTGCAATCAGTGTGCTTACGGTGAATTCCATTTTTCACTAACAAAATTAATAGTAGTAAGTAAAAAAATTTTTTTGTTATTGAGTTATGGTTGTTAGACGAAGAGAGTTAGTGTTTGTTCTTGTTTAGTTTTTTGGTATGTCTTTTTTATTCATTTTAGTCATGTTTTTTTTTACAAAGTAAAAATATTAGATTCAAGAAAAGTCATAATGAAAATTAGATTGCTGAAGAAGTCACCGCCATGCTTGCTCAATATTTCATAAAGACAAAAATGACAAAAATGATGTTTACATTTAGACAAGGGCGTTTCTGTAATTACTATAAGTAGCAAATTACTTAAAGCATTATTTAAAGTAAGAGTTGGGAGCTTTTCTCGTTGGAGTTTATCTTTTGTTGAACTTTGTTGGCATAGTGACCGAAACTTCAAAATATATTAACATTTTTTAGAATATCAATTAATCGATGGTGACTGTAAATTAATCACTACAGAAAATTCTCTGATTGCCGTACGGAATTCAAAAGCGGTCACATTATGGTCCCTTATTTTGGTAATTGCGGCGGCATCCTTTTCTACAGTACTTATTGCTGCAGTAATTATAATTTACATCAAGAAATGCAAACGTAAACCAAGTAGGGTTGGTTCAGATGCCGGAACTGATGTTTAGCACAATATCGTTCCATATTTTATAGTAAAATTATGAATCCTAGAATATTTGGACTATGTTTTTATTGCTTGTAGGAAATGAAACATTGTGATGTATTTCAAATATAAGTACTTCTAATCTGTTATTCTGATGATTCCTTAGATAGTTAAACGACGTTAAACTAGTGCCAAAAGATGGAAATTCAAAATTTCAAGAATGTACGATGAATGTATGTCACTTGCATATGAGCAGTATTATTTCTTTTTGAAAATCTAGTTTTCGTGATAAACCTATGAACCTCATTCACCTCAAACTTTAACTTATGATTTTTTGCATGAGATGGAAACTTATAGAAATTTTACGGATATCGATGTTTCGAGAAACATCATGCGAAAATTATGTTTATGATAGGTTTTGCGAAGTTTTAAAAACATATGGAGGGATATTATCAAGCTTTCGGTACTTTCATAAATAATTGAAAAAGTAGTGAAATTAACAGCTTAATTTCATTTTTATGCAATTCGATTCGCTCACTCCAAATGTTTATTGTTTTTGTTCTTCCTCCTCATTTTTCCAGATATCACTTCACCTAAAATTGCCTCATTTATTAATTACAGTTGTTATGTTTTGTATTTCACTTACAATTTACGGTATTGCCGTCATCTATTTTTCATTTTAGGTCAAATTTTAACCACTCGTTTCATAAAAATATTCACTTCTTTATTAAATTTATCACGGCGCTACTTATATTTCGGCAGTTCTCCCAGTAAATTCAATTCTTATTCTTTTGATTTTGCTTGCCACTGCGTGTACATTATTGATATGAATGTGCTCCAGGAAGAAAGTTTAAGAAAATAAAAATTTAGTAACAAAGTTTTTGTTTAATTTATCGTGAAATATTTACAGTTTTTGCTAGTGAGTGTGAAGCCTCTCTCACTTTGTTGATCTGCTTGTTTCAACAACAAACCTTTTTGCAATTACTCTAATTCATGTTAAGTTCCAAACGCTCTTAAAATGCCTTAGCATGCTTTGCTGTTGGTCATTCTTTATCAATATCCCAATACAACAGGTAAGATATTACATATAAATATATTAATAAGATGAATATATTTATTGCATGATAAACATATTCAAATTCGGTCTTTACTTTTCGTCGTATTTTTACTCTCTCATCCTAATCTTTCTTCCGCGAAATCTCTAAATAATTATTTGTGAAAACTTCATAATGGTATTACTAGAAATTGCTGAAATGAGACTTATCCTAGGTATACTAAAATCAAGATCAACTAGCGTTGTATTGGTTTAAAAGTGAGTCTTAGAACAAATTTACCCTTCAAATCAGTTAGAGGACAAAACATCTTAATTTGTCGTAAAAAATGAATTACCTTATTTCTGATTTAGTAACGGATAGAATGAAAAGAAATGCCTAATTTTTTTGATCCAAAGCAAGTGGTTGCAAATGTAAAATAGGAACTCATGTCTGTTGGATATCAATGTAATTTTAAACTAAATCACCAATACTCTCGAATTTCAAACATTCATCCGATCATGTAAGGCATTACAAGAAGTAAAAATCAAGGAAAAAAAATTCAGTATAGTGTACTTCTAGAAGAACCAATTTGAAGAGTTCCTCGGAATTTCATTTAAATCATAGACGATTCAATGCTATCAATTACCCGAATGACTAGTAATTTTAATATCTTTTCTTACATATCCTATATCGCTTTTATCTGTTACTGCATTCTGTATAAGTTACACGTAGCTTTATTGAGAGAGGAAAATTCACGAAATAGTTTTGATCAAATTTAGGAGATATAAAATGACAAATATTATCAATTTTCTTTAATTTCTTACTACTTCAATCCTTACAGCTCTATTTTTCTCACTTCTCTTATACTATGTCATCTGAAATATGCTATCCAAATAACTTAATTGTGTGAGTGCTTGTTTCTCGATTTCGTTAGCTTTTAATCAGAGGCATTGTTTTCCAAGTTAATTATACTACATCGTTGATAAATAATGGAACCACAAGTTCACAACAGTTCTCGTTCGTAAATTTATAATCGGATGTGTGCACAGCTAATTTGATTTCCAATAGAAAAATATTTTCACTAAAGACAAAGCTATAACAACTCCATCTTTAGTAAACTTCCGCCTTAAACGACCACATGACTAACATAAAATATATGAAAACCAAATACTTAAAATGGAGACAGACATTTTCACAACAACCACTGTAATCCAACTTGCGAAAAAACTTCATAGTCGTTGGATCACACTACCACAACTAACAAGAAATTTATCAGTGCTGGGGTTTAGTGCCTTGATTGTAAGTGGTTGGTAATTGGACCAACTGTATAGCTAGTTTTATTGGAACTTCCACTTACCCGATTTAGGAGATTATTAAGAAGCAGTTCAATGGGTTGTAGCAATTTAAAAGTCTAGGAAATGTTTGGTTTTTATCTGATAAATCTCAATAAACTTCGGAACAATCTAATGTTGCCATTTAGAATAGAAATATGAATTGAACAGTTCTTCCATTCAAAAATAAACAGAATGAAATCATTGCTAAATCCTCAATTTTGCTAAACAAAAAGAAAGTTGGTGGAATGACTAAATAATATACTAAACATATATATGAAGCAATAGTATAAAATTGGAAATGAAAAGTATATTTTACATATGGTTCTCCCCCTCTCGTCTTTCTAACTCTTCCTTCTTAAGCCAAAGATTTAGGTGAATTAAACTATCATAGGAAAATGCTTACAGCAGCATAAGAAATATCACAGCGAATAAAAAATGTTAAAAAAGAACTTCAAAATAATGGAAAGGGAGAAAAAAATTGGGACGGAAATGGGATTTTTTCGCACAATATCCTTCACAAAACTAAATTTAGGGAAAAATAAATGGAAACGCAACACCATACAATAGCAAGAGGAAACTGGCTTCTGAGAAGCCCAAATTTTTGTACCACACTGAAGAGTTTCATGAATTTTGATAAATTTATTCTAACGAAAATAAACGACAACTCGGTGAAACTCAAAATTAATTATTAAAACTCTTAGACCACCTGAAAAACAGTTTTAACAGCTGAGAACTAAACTAACACGGTGATGAAACAAACGAATATTAAAATTCTATTTTGCAAATCCAAGCAGTTATATCTCGGGTACATCAATTTGGTGCCACGTGTATGATTTCGTGATTCTTAACGAAAATAGTTCTTCACGGTAATTATAACCACCAAAAAAGAGATCAATAGTTTTTCAAATAAGTAGTGTATAATTAAAATATACTTTAAGTTATTAATCTTTTAACAGCTGTTTGATAGTCCTAATCACTATAGTAGTTGCTTTTTCTTGGACTGCAAATTATAGAGCCGTTGATATAACTGAGGACAAACCATGTACTAACAATGTTGGTGGTAACCCATCAGTCAAATACCTTATTACTTCCAAATACTGTTCACTTCGTGAAACCTGAAGAATAAAAATAAATTACTAAAATAAATTTCCCATTACCCATTACTAGTGCTTCCATAGCTATTTAAACTTTTAGCTCTTTCTAATCATTAAAATGTTTTTTGTTAGTTTCTAATCATTAAAATGAATCAGCGCACTTATTATTTCTTTATTTCTCTTCAATATACCTAATTATATTTAATTTCATATTGATAGCTGAGCAAGTTTATAGAGATAATTATTCTTTACATTCATTTTCAACATGTTTCAAAGTACTGGAAAAAATTACGTCTTTTGGTGGAGTTGGTAAATTTAACAAGCAAACAGCTGCATCACCACTGTTCTTTTTGATTAAATCATTCAGAGCTGTCAAATAAGGCATTGGCAAATCAACTGATTCCCTGCAGCAGAAGACCAACACTTACACAATATAATGCCAAAATTTAAAAATGCCAGAATGTGTTTTGAATGAATAATGCAAATGAAAGCGTAACCAGAATTAAAAACATTAAATTCATTAATTTTCAGGTGACCTTAATGGAGCGGATGGACTGTCATTATCAAGATGACAAATAACATGATCCCATGGTGTCACCAGTGATTTCGCGTTTATTCGAAGATGTGCGAGCATTTGCTTCAACTGCCGCTCACGCCTTTGCATATCCTGCATAATATGTTCAGTTAAGTAAAGAGCATAGAATACGGAGACCGTGAGACCGTGCCGTACACACTATTACTTTCAGAAATGTTGCACTTGTAAAATTGCTCTATAAAGATGGATGCAAACGGGTTTGCAAAGGAATGTAAATTTAATTTAAAATCTGTCGTGTTTCCATGACTTACTGAGAAATAATCCGATTAAAAATCCACTCTTTCTTGATGGTAAATCGCTATACAACGTTAAATATAAAGGAAACCAATCATAGGTAGCAAGCAAGTATGAAAAAAAATATTGCTCTATTTGTCACTAAATTAAGACTAGAATGATCTGACCAACGATTTCAGTAAACTGATGAGCCAGAATGTTTGGCTGTTGATAATATAAGACAGAAACTCATATAAAGTATTGATGCATCTAGTATAAAACTTAAATGTAACAAAGAGTAGTATAATATTCTTCAAACAAAGAGTAGAATAATTCTGAACGAGATAATATTTAATCAAGACAGACCTGCAAGCTATTAACACAAATGAAAACGCGCAAAACTGATGATGAGCGCCATCGAGTACTCATAGATAGTATGCAAGCCATTTGGAGCAAGAAAAGAGAACTGAAAAGTGTTTAAAAGTCTTTTTTAAACATCTTCATAAAAAGCATTAACAGCAGGTGAACTTTTGATAACGGAATCAAAAGAAGCGTTGAACTGAATCACTGTAAGACAAAAAAAAATTGTCCCGACTAATAATAATATTAGAATATTAAAAACAACTTAAGAATTAAAACAAAATCACTAAAAAAACAAAAATTGGCTTTAGGACCAAGAATTTAAAAAAAATACGTCGCTGATTATAGAAACATACCTGTTACCCCAGCCAAGTCCTGTTTCACCGGGTTTTTGTATGAATACTGGCCAAACGTCAATGAATTTTTTTTTACCATTCCATCCTCTGAAATATAATATGCAAATTAATTTAAAAAATGAGTTGAACTCTCGAACTCAATCCTAAAAAATTCCTTTTTCGTGAACCTTGGGGCGTCCTTGTCCAGATGATTGAAATAGCGCGCAATACACAAATTTTTGTTGATATGAATTACATCATTCAAAATGCGTACATATTCCTCGCTATCTAAACGTTCATAAAAACCATTAGGCTCCTGAAAAACCGCTCGAACCATAAATTATTAAACTAAGTAAGGAAACAGGAAACTTCGGAATTTCCAAAAGTAAATTATTTTTAAAATTTTTTAAGTCCAAAATTTTATTCGCTTATTGACTTATATATGTTACATAGAATCATGATATGAATATATGTTTTCATATTCAGTGCTTTTCTTCAATATTCTTGAAGGAATTCCACTGAGATGTAAAAATATACTAACTCCTCTGGCACACAAGAATGAACTAATTTCCAGCCAAGGTTTTACTATGTAAGTGTAGAACACCATTTTAAAAAGTTTCCAACAAATATGGAAAATTACGGACCAAATTCAGTGAAGCAGAGAACAACAAACAACTCAAACTTTTAAAAACATTTTTGAAAATGACTAAGAATTTTCAAAAATATTTTAGGAAACATGAAAAGTTAGAACAAACCAGAATCTCTAAATAAAAGTCTAAAAAAAACTTACGCGTGGCATATAATCTGAAGCTGTGAAATATTCGACAACTGCAGCTCGATCGATCCGAGAAAATCTAAGATCCTTCAGAAGAGAAGATTCAGCGAGAGTAGTTTCTGTCGGAAATTTTTCATGAAAACCCAAAACCACGGTGTTTGGTTTCATGGCTCCCAAACCAGATAAACGCATTAACTGAAGCATCAAAAATATATTAACAATTGTTTTCTCGAAAAGAAAAAGATTCAAGCCAATTCTCTCGAGCAATGAGAGAAAATCCAACTGCTTAAAAAACTGTTGCATATGTATGCTACACTTTGCTTTGTTTTTTCTAAATGATCACTTATTTACTCCTTGAAACACTCATGAAGCCCATCGCTATAAAATATAAGACGTTTGGTGCAGAGCTGCAAAAAATACACTTCGTAATGCCACTGTTCTTAAAAAATCCGTCAATCTACAAATAATTACATATTTCTGAATTATTTTAGATATACAGCACTCCTTAAATTCTAAGCATTCACTTCCCTATCATCATTTTATAATGTTATCATAACTGCAGAAATTTACCTGTTGTATGCCTTCACGTACTGACTTCGAAATCGTTAACTCAACAAAAGCTTTCAGTTTCAAATAATCAATTAAAGATAACCAATATGGGAATACCTGAAAATAAAAATACAATAAGTTTACAGACAATTATTCGAAATGTAAAAAAGCTGGTTGGCACTGCTTAATAATTTTATCAGCCGAAAATTAAAGTAATAAAAAGTAAAGTCATGAAAAAGATTTTGTTATGATAATAAATAGTGGTGAAGAACGATACGTCTCAGAATACTATAGAGCAATTACTTAACTACTACCTCATGCAATGGGTCCAAGTTCGGACTACTATCATCCATGCTACCTTTTTGTACGTGACCAATTACATATAAGCCACTTTTCTTCAAATCATTGATGAAGTCCATGAGCGGAAAAACGCTCGCCGGACGACTGACTAGAAGAAGTATTTGCGGTCGCCAATACCTAAAACAGATTAATAAGAACAAAACAACTATCTTATTTTGTAATATTAGGATGAATTATACTCATTATCCTTGATCTTGAAATCAATTCTTTATTTAAGAAGACAAAACATACTTTACGTGTTCTTTGCGAACATCAAGAAGAAGAAGATACTTTCGTACTTGATGGTAAATCAAAGCTTGAGATATAGATCCCCAAGATCCTACTGGAGCCTGAAAGAATGTCCCTTGGAAAGAATTTGAAAGTATTGAAAGCTAAGGAAAATAAACATTAATTCAAAATAATAAAAGCCAACAGTAATAAAAACTGTACCTGGTAATGCAAAATTATGATCAAGATTAAAAGAACGATGACACCAATAGCACTCATAGCAGCATCAATAACTAACATCATTACAATGGTACTTATAACACCGACTGCACAAGTATGCCAGGTGAAATATTTAAAAGTTGGCCTAAAAATAAGTCCTAAAGTTCGTAAACATTAGCATAAATATCAAAAGAAAATTTAGACTGCGTCATCCACTGGGCTATATTAGTTTATAACCAAATCACTTAACCAACTTTTGCTGACGATGCTGAGGATGAGAAAGCTTAAACTTAAATATATACATCAAAAAATTGAATTTTTGAAAAAGCCTTGCCGAAAATTCGGAGCGCTTGTCAATTCCAGTGCTAAGCAAGCAATATTAACGCCCATATAGGATAACAAGAAAAAAATAGATGTTAGTTTCGCAATTCTATTCATTGTACCAATCAAGAAAACCAACTGCAAAGAATTTGTAAATAATAAACATAACATTCCACCAACATCATTAACTTCCATTTCATTAAAAAAGTGATGACAGTTAGAGGTGTAAAATCTCATTACATATTACTACATGCTGAAACATAACTTATAATTTTTCTTGCTGTCAACCATACATCACAAAAAAAGTTAAGTGAAGTAAATACGATAAAAACGAACAGTGTTAAAATAAAACTTCTGTATATATGGTTGAAAAACTTTCTCAGATCAGCTTCCTCAGATGCATAAATTATATAAAAACTTAAAAGGCAAAAGCAACTAATAAAGAATAAACAGCACCACGACGCAAATCCATGATATTATCACCGACGCGACAGGATTGCCTCCACCGACTTCAATTTTCGCTGGATGAAGTAAGTAACCAAAAAGCTTATCATGTGCAACGCGATTCAAAACACGGGATGCACCAATCATGTTACTCATAGATGAGAAAAATGTTGTCGAGAATATGCCAATAAGAATAAACAGTGGCGAAATGTTCACATTCATCATGACCTTTAATTAATTTCCAAATCCTTTACTTGTGACAACTCATTTTAGAAACTAGTTTTTGAAAAGAGAAGTTTTTAAAACTACCAAGATATATATTTTAAGACAGTACTACCAAGATACATATACATGTATAAAGTTTCACATAACAGATACCAGGAAATATTAAGAATTCAAGAACAATAAAAAGTGTAGTGAAACCTTACTGAATAATTCGACTGAAGTAATTCACGACTACATGTAGCAGCAGTAAAAAATGCCGTAATAATGTAGACAAATAGTGTCACGAAAACGGCCTGTACAGTGCCACGTGGAATGGAAGTGCATGGACGAGCCAATTCACCAGACATATTTGCGCCAGCCATCAGTCCTGGTAATTTATAAAAGTTTGAAGAATTTTGAGTCCTCAATTCTTTACCTCCTTACTACATCTCAACCCACTACCAGTAAAACTAAAAGGAAACTTCGTAAACCGCTCAGCCAAAAATAAATTTAGCATGTATATCAATATGGCGAGATAACCCATAATTGAAAAACTCTATTGCTATCACACAAGAATAAACTTTATGACAAAACAAACAACTCATAATGATTAATTAGTTGTAGTTAAACCGTCATGTTTTCCACTAGTTAAGATGTCTTCAAATAATCTAAAACTACGCATGTGAAATTAAACTAGTTAAACATAATTTGATAACCCACCAGTAATACCGCTGAATATAATAGCAAACATCATAGCAAAATCAGTAGGATTTGATGTTGTATAATCAAATGTATAATTTGCCATCATATTATTTATGAGAGTCGCGAATCTAAATGTGAACTCATATTCTGCTCTCGAAAAATCTTAAAAATAGAAAACAACATGCTTTGCACATGAACTATGTTCTGTCCTTTTATTTTCAGGATATACGAGTATGTCGTCTGCATGACACTAGTGTAAACTATGAATCTGAACTCTTATTCGCTCAGTCCGAATAAAAAACGGAAAGTCACAAATCTTTCCGAAATGCTGGAATGCTATAACTTTATTCTATTATGAATAGATTTCAAGAATTACCTGAATCCTGTATAAGGTGTTTTTAATGTCTGGTTGAAGTCAGGTATCTTCTCAGAAGAGGGGTCTGACAGATTTGATGAAATCTGTAAAAACATCCATTTCCAATGGAATTTTTTTAAAACATATAGAAAAAGTGCAAAAACAAGATTTAATCAACATCGAGAAGTAAAAAAATAATAGTCACAGAACCTGCACGGCAGGTGGAGAAACTTACCATATACGCTATTTCATTTGTTTTTGGTATCGGAACACTGAATGGTGCAACTATAAATGCTGATAATAAAAATGTAACATAACAAACAGAAATAACATTGAATGTAATAAACGCTGTTTTAGCAAACAGTCTAGCTCCAAGAAGACATAACAACAACAGAACAACGGAGACTAATACACAACATAGAAATTTCCAGCTGGCGCTAGATGGCGAACCTGAAATTGAACTATATTACATATATATTACGGCCACATTATATATGCAGTTTCTTACTTACTGTATCAGTCTAGCCAAAATCAGAATGTTTATCGAAGTATGATACAATGATCATATATATGATCATTTTATTCCCACCACAAAATATAATCCCACTAAAAATGAAATAAAACATACTCTCTTCACCAATACTGCTTAATAAAGCTTCAGTAAATCCAGATATATATAAGGCGCAAGAAAAAACATTGGCAATATAAAATAGTAATCCAATGGCACCGCCAAACTCTGGTCCCAATGACCTGCTTATCATATCTAAAAATAAACCGTCTTCTCCAAAATAATGAGAAAAAAAAGATAACAACTTACAATAAACTCCACCGCCTTCGATAGCACCATTTGAGGAAATAGCGCACAGTGAAAGGACAGTTAACATAACGATTGCATATGCAAGGAAAAGTTGCAAAATTGTTTGCAGGAAACCCAACTGACCAACAACGAAACCTTGAAATAGTTTATTTCTTTCTTTAGAAACAAACTTTCCCACCCATGAATTTTTGCTTTCAGCAGTATATGTCTTAAATAAAGATTAAATAAAAATTAAACAAAAACCAAACTTCAAAAAATTAGAAATAAAAAAAAATTTAAAACAGCTTCATGATTTTGCGTATCAACATAAATAAATGCGCGAAAGTTTACATTAGCAAACACTGATCAATAAAGGCAATCAGAATCGTATACGCAAACTGATTTCAACCACAATTTCTCTAAAGATGTAATGTCAAAAACTTCAATCAAAAGATCTACCCATCCGAAGAAAGAGCAAAACACTGAACATCGAAATTGCCACAGGCGCAAAAACACCGGATAGTGTGGATAATCCATTTGGTTTAGCAGTATTTACGAAATCCACAGAATCTATAAGAAAAAAAATTTCGGGATCAGCAATAAAACAATGCCATTCAATTGACTGAATATATTAAAGATTTAATCTCACCGAGCTATTGCTCTCGGAAATGAAAACTTACGAAGACAAGATCGTTCTTCGGTATACATTTGTGCTGTTCCACTGCTTAATCTCGTACCTGGATCTGTAAATTTATTTTATTTAAACACTTTAAAGAATTCTAAAATTTAAACAAGATCAAGCAAAAGATGAATAGGAAAATACTACATTAAACAAGAAATGAACTTCAAAAAAATTTAAAAACAAAGATTTATTAAGAAAAGAGGAAACCGTTAGTAGTTTCATTTTCAAATTATTATAATATGGTCTCACTATATTTCAAATGTCCAATTAAAAGGAACCGTTAATGGAAAAACATGCTAATGATCATAGAAAGTACTACCAAGTCGCAGTTCTTTCAATGATACGAAAAAACTATCTGATGGAAATCTATATTGGCTTTCAAATTCTATGAGTCAATGTTCAGTGCTTTTATTTTCATTCATCAAAATTTACTGCAAAATTATTTCTTATTTGCATAAGAACAACAGATTCATAACGCAGTGATTAAACCTGACTTTAAGATCCTTTTATTATCTACGAGATGCAGCATTCACAACAGGTATCCACACGAAATAATCTAGCAATCTTAGTAATCCTGATATATTTCATAAGCTACAAATTCCATCGTAAATAGAAATCTCATCACGATTGGTGAGATTGCGACAGGAATATTACATAAGCCAAAATTCCCAAATTCATGTAAGGTTTTTACATGCGTCCCATATTCCACTGTTATGGTTCGTCATTCTGATAAAAAAACCGTTTATAGCACTTAAGCACACAAATTCCTTAAACAATCCTAAATATCCATGAACACTAGCTTTTTACATTAGTACTGATAAAGTAAATTTATCACTTACGGCTAAGATAGATCATGAAGTGTGTTTCGACTTCCAAGATAACTACTTGACCTCACATTTCTCCATGCTTCTCATTATCTTATGGGTAGTCCTACTGTCCGCATTCACGAAGAAAGATCTGCATTGAGGTCTCAAAGTTTGCATTTGTTACTCACTTTTTTTTCAAAAGTTTCACATTTGCCTTAAGGTTACATTTTTAATAGAAATTAAAAGTGACATAAATCTCAAAACAGTTAACGTTCACTTTCTGGTGATGCTGCTTGACGAAATTTAGCCTTTATATAAAATTTCTTCATTTAGTAAGGATCACTTGAGTACTGATCCAACACGTAAAGTAAAAGTTAGGCTGAGACAAACTATCAGTAAGTACTATTAATAACATCTGCACATACATAATTCAAGGATGCAAAGAAAGTAAAGAAGATGCAAAAATCATGAAAACAGTAAATTCTCTCGTACCCATCATAAGTGGTGCTTTATCCGGTTTTCTACTTCCATCACTAATAGGAGATCCATTTGTACGTGACTGCATTACTGATTCGGTCGCATTTCTTGGCAGTACGCCACCGTATGATGTCGTTGGAGAAATGTTATCATTGTGGACTTGTATACGATCATCCATTCACCTGAAAAGTACAAAGAGTTCACATTAGAAAATCGATAAGTCAAAGACTTCATTGATCCTGTGACAACATCACAGTTACACCTCATACGATGTGCCCCGTCATATATGACACACATTCTTGCACATAAGTTCATGCACACAGTTACAACTTTTCTCGCAGCAAGTGCTAATTTCAATCACTGAAGGTAGTAAATCTCGGCACGTGACTTATGATATTTAATTGCGATAAATGATCTCTTCTTTCCCTCTTCTCTCCTCTCTTTAAGAGTACGGCTTAAGGATGATGAAAGTTCTAACTTGGATGTTACGGGATAGCTTAGCCTAACAAAGATGTTGATATACTACTATGCTTCGAGCTAGCTAGCTAAGTATTAATCAATTAAAGAACTATAGTTCCTTTTATAGAAAAACAATTCAGCAACAATTAAACAATTCACATGTAAATCCCGTAGATAAACCATCTTTCTGGCGATTTGAATTTCACTTAAAAGTTAATCGTAATTTAGAGGAACAAAAGAACTAAAGGAAATACACGTCAAATTTCATAGAAACTGTGTAATCTCCCTCCCCCTCCCCTTCTCTCTCTATAACATAGTCTGTTTTCAATATCTAGGATTTCACGGTTCAGTCGCAATACGATCTACTTATTTTTTATGGACAACTTTCTTTTATCATTCCCGAGAGAATTCGGTGCTGTTAGCGAAGCAATTGATAATTCATAAATCGAATTCTGAAAAACTGTTTCACAGCTACTGGGTTTAAGGTCACTATGTTACAAACAAATAATGGATATACTGGTGATTATCACCGGTATAAAGAGATAAACATTAATCCTGCAAGAATTAATTTTTCTATTTCCAGCTTATTCTTCAACCATTTTCATTATATTATTTTATCTAATAGGCATTTTAGAATTAATTCATTTGTTTATGTGAGGTTGGCCAACTTCTACTAAGAGTTCCTGCATTTTATGATCGGAATCATAAGCAAATGAAATGTGTTACAAGTTTAGTGCGCGGAAACAGATAAAGGATACGACTGTGAAACGAATGAAGAAATATTGTTTTTTTTTAAGCCTAATGAATGAGACATGAAAAGAGATGTGAATCTTTTGCTCCAATATTTTTTCTCTCCAACTGTACAGCGCAGGTAATAACAATAACGACAGATTGTCAGGGGTGAACCACCGTTGTGACACTGTTAGGGAAGATCCACGCTACTGGCTTAATTTAAATTAGAGTAGTTCGGTCGATCAGTCACTTATTGAAGGCATTTTTATTCAATCCTAAGATATTGGCCGAGCCATCTTTCGGAAAAAGCATTAGTTCAGTGACCTTCAGCCCAAATCAGAAAAGAGTGTCTGTGTAAGATTGTTTCTAGTTCAACTTTTCCAGATGTTTGATTTCACTGTACTTGGAAGTATAAATTAGTAAATTATTTTTTATAACATTTTTTGCTTGGTTAAAAAAATTGATTACAATCAGATATCTTAATTATACAGTACTAAACATTATTCCGGTAGACATTGTTCTGCTTCTCTTCGAGAGAAGAAACTGATTCATAAAAAAATGTCCTTTTCACAGTTTTGCTTCTCTTCTGTAAAATTAAACTAAAAATTAATGTAAAAATTGTTTCAAAACGGCATAAACATGATTTTATTTCATATCTTTTTAATAGCTTTGTTCTGTATAGAAAATTACTTTTTCATAATAAATTTACATTTCTTAGTAAACTTAAGCTATATTTGCAAGTAATTTCGATAATGTGCCATCATTGGACCGTTTGTGCCACATTTAATAATCTTTGATTTAACACAGTGATATCATTGAACAACAAACACATTAAATAAACAACAATGATAATAGTCTAATTTTACCAACAACAATGATAAATGGTATCTTTTCTTAATTCTGTTTCAGAATTTATACAAGACATTGATGGTGGTTGTGATCTCTATGCATATACTAGAATGGGACATCAATAAAAAACATTGGCTGTTGTTGTACTGGTAGTGTATGCTTTATCATAGTCCACATCCATCAGCAAGGCTTGTCGACAAGAAAAAAGAACTTTTTCTTTTCTCTGTGTATTAATTCTACAGTGCATTGCGCTACGCTATTAGCAGATGAGGTTAACCCGTGGCCATATGGCCTCAACCTTTATCGAAACAGTTAATATCAATTTGGAGGATTTCTCTGAAACATTTTTGACCTGTGCTACATGCTTGTGCACTTACGATCAGGTAACTGAGTTATATCACTAATTAAAGGAACCTGATTGAGTAATTTTTTTCCTAAAACTCCTCATAATTGTTGTTTTGAAGTCTTAATGTAAAACAGGCATGCTTATATTAAATGATGCTAATTCTTATTGAAACAAGTTAGCAGAAATATCTTCAAAAGCAAAAAATTTTTTGGTTTAGAACTCTTTAGTGTTCTAATTAGGCGGATTTAAAAAAAAATATATATAAATATCTATTCAATAAAGAAGGCTTTTCCTTTTTCTTCAGGAACAAAAAAAAGCGAAGCTTCTTTCGTGTTCTCATACTGTATGTTTGGAATGTCTGCTACATATGGAGCAGCTGCCGCAGGTAAGTCATAAAAAGGGTAATTTCTGCAGGATTATAGTTAAAAAATGAACTGAAAAGGATTGGACACTGATTTTATTGCAGTATATATTGTTCCTTATTTTATTACTAACTTGACAGTTAATGCATTTTTACCTTTCCACTTATACTTTAAAGGACGGGACTAGCAAACTCGGCATTAAGTTTTAGAGGGACGGAAATTGGTGGCAAGGAACTGTTTGTCTAGCGAACTTCTACAAGTCAATAAAGAAATGCATTTTCTGGATGAATTTTAGGAGCAAAACTATTGTAGCAATGTGAATCACACATTCCACTTCATTTCATACAAAGTGGTGAAATTTTTTATGCGTAATACTGATAAAAGATTTAGTAAGGTCACTTTTGCTCAGTGTATTTTTCCGTAAGATAAATTACAGGTGATTGAAACAGGTGTCGTGCGTTGTCCTCTTTGTCGTGAGATGATTACTATACCTTCGGGTGGCTCGAATGCATTCCCTTCTTCATTTCTCATTAACCAACTTCTTGATTTGATGCAGAAACAGCGGAAAGACGTTGTACCCAACTGTTCAGTACATCAACAAGAGCAACTGCTCTATTGTGAGGCATGCGATCTCGTTTTTTGTCAACATTGTGATTCTCTTTCCACGTAAGTACTTATGGCTCCTCTTTTTTGCTTTACTGTTGTTTATCATGAATATACTTCTGTCAAACTGCAAAGTTCCACAAGATATCCGTAGGCAAATAACAAGAAACTCAAAGTTTAGTGATTTGATGCAAATTCAATTTTTTATCCACAGAAGTTGCACAATTGCAGTGTAATGGAAATATACATTGAAATATAAGATTTTATGTTTTAAAATATTTCTTCTAGACCTACCATATTATTGTTGCAAAAATTTTTTGGTATAAATTTTTAGGCGTGACTGCTCTGATCATACAGTAATTCCTTTTTCAATTGCAATAAAGCGCCTATCGGAAATTGTTGTATATAAAGCGAATCAGTGTGTTGTAAGCTTGAATACGGCTGCAGCTAATGTAAAATTCGAGACTTTGCAGTTGGATCGAAATGTTGATAATGTCGTAGATGGACTAAATGCATCTTTTCAGGTAAGCATTGGATTCATTATATCGTCATTTTTTTTGCAAGAATCTCCTAGAAACTGGGGGTAATGAATGAAATGGAGAAATGAGACAAAATCATTCGTCAGTAAGAGTTCAAATTTAACAGGTAGTGAAACAGAGAATGGAGAAGCTACAAGAATCGAAATAGAGTAGCTAGGTTCTAATGAATCAGTTTACAAGATAAGGTTAATTGTCGATCCAGTTAGAGTGCCGGTTTTCAGGAAATATGTCAGTTGGTGGAGAATCGACGTCGTGAGCTGATCGATGCAGTTCGAATGATGAGGGACGAAAAACAGAAAGTATTGCGCGATCAGACAGAATTGATTGATTCATACCGCAAAAAATAATAATTTGCTTTTTTTTTTCTTTAATGGGGTTTTGCTGACTTGACTCATTGGTCTGTCGATCTCACGTATTGTATAAATTCTATTTTTGAAAAGAATTTGGACTAATTCCTTCTGCTTCATTCCATCACTAGTGAATTCAAATTACACGGTGATCAATGCTTTTGTAGGTTAGAAAGAGAATTAGGAATTTGCGAAGTGGATGTACGTGAAATAGGAGTACGTGCGAGACGTGTTATGGCAGCTACTGAAGAAGCACTTGCTCTAACAGAACCTCGTGAAAACGCTTTCTTGAAACTACATATGGATACCAAAAAACTTCTATTTGGTGCGTCATTTCCTTTCACATATAGGGTTGATGGCTTGTTTATTGCGTCCGTTTGTCAATTTTCAATTATAAGCAGTATTTCAGAGATCGAGAAGTCACTTAGTCAGTTTGGCGCAGTATCCGGTTCAACAACGTTTCCAGGACAGTGTGTTATAGAACTGTTGGATACATCCGGTGTATGTACGGAAACCCATCTAATGTTGACAACATACGATGTTAGCGGTAAACGCCGAAATAATGGTGGTGACCCAGTAAGAGTAGAAGTTGTGAAGGCGAAATTGGGACGGCAAACTTCAGGTGAAAGTGTTGATGAAAAAGTTGAAATAATTGATGCAACAATAAAAGACGAAGAGGATGGAACGTACTCCATTTGTTTCAAGTAATTTTTCCTTTTTTTCTATTAATTGTTTCATGACATAATTTTGCTTAACATTCTGGAACATGAATTTCAATAGCGTCTTTTGCTGCAATGTTAAATATTGTCACTCATACATGCTTCTAAAACTGTTGAATTATTAATTAATGAATTTTAATTACCCAAAAGTTCGTGTTACAACAATTTATTAATAATAAAATTTTTGAATCGTGAATTATTTTTTTAGAGCTTACGAACCATGTGAATACTTGATTTGTGTAACGATTTTTGGTCGGCCAGTAAAAAATAGCCCTTTTTCCGTAAATGTAAGTAGCCATCATTGCCCAAAATGGCATTTCGGGTCTCATGGAGCAGGAGCACTTCAGCTGAATCAGCCAGTAAAAGTATTTCAGGATATAAGGGAACAAATTTATATTCTGGATACTGGCAATAATCGAAGTTAGTTTTAATCTCACAGCTCCTTTTTGAGCTCAAAACTTTGATGAAATAGTACTAGTCCAATACTCGTAGAACTTCTTAATTTCATTGCTATTTTTAGCAAATTCATTTTTGGATTTCTTTTGTGAGAAACAATGTTTCAGTTCATATTTTTCTGTTCAGAATAGTTAAAATTTTCAGTAAAAGTTCTGAATGTAAACGGAGAATTTCTGAGGGATATGAAAGGTGAGGGAATCAAAGGTGGTAGTACCATTGGCATGTCAGTTTTACAGTCCGGTGATATTTTAACCTTAAATTGGAGAACCAAAGAATTATATAGATCTGATTCTTCTGGAGGACTTCTTCAGGTTCCTTTTGACAGTGACAGTTCTATTTTTTCTTATATTTTTTTCATTTTATCAGTATTCCATGGATCTGTTGTTAAACAATGTCAACAGTGGTACTGGTAATCTGATTACAGACCATGAGTTTTACCGAATTTGCTGAACCTGTTGATCTTTGTGTTGACACCCATGGACGATACATAATTGCTGATACCGCGTGTGCTAAGGTAATTTGACGAATGTATTTTTTATTGGTTAGTGTTTAGATAGCACTGGCGATAACCGCATAAGTCGAACTGTAAGGTTACACCGTTAAAAATTGCAAGTTTTCGTTTTGGTCTGCTTGGCAATTAACCTCGCAAAGTAAATATTGCAAGTGTTCAAAGAATGTGCTCAGTTCTAAATAGTAGGCTGTTAAAGACCTATATTTGTTGCTTTATTTTCTTTATTATTTTAAACAAATGGTCTAGTGAGTTGTATTTGGAAATATTCTTTTTTTCAGGAAATATCTTTTTTTTTTTTCATTTCAGGTGTTTGTTTTTGATAGTGCATTTCGTCCACTGTTCAGCTTTAGCGTGACAACTCACGCAGGCCTGTCCCCCATAACATGTGTTTGTATAGGTCTTAATGATGATATTCTTGTGGGTACCTGTACTGCTCTACTATTATATGACGGAGGAGGTTTATTTCTTTTTCATTTTCGTGAAACTTGAGCTACTTCACGTGCACTAATTCATTCCTGCTTTTTTACATCATTTAAATTGCTTTTAATGAAAAGGATACAGGTTAGGGGCACTGTTTCATATTAGGGAAATGTATCGTAATAGCATGTTTCCCTAGCAATAGCATTTCATTCACACTGTAAAGTTTATTTAATAGGCCATTTTATGCGTGAAATATCGTTATGCTCAACCACACATCCTGTCCGAATTATGGTTCTAGCATGTTCTGTGTGTCCGCTAACGGGCAACATTGTTTCGGCCGTCGTGGATTCAAAGAAAAATCGAGCCTACCTCGTTGTTTGCCAGTATAAGGTAGTTCCACTCTATTAATTGCGTTCAGTTTAAGTTTTAAAACATCAGTAAAAATTTTTAAAACAGTAAAAAATTTTTTAAACAGCATTTGTTTTTCAGGGTAATTTCTTATTTTCTATGGATAGTTATGGATCACGTCTGAAACGTCCCAGTGGTGTTTTTATTGCTTCCACACTTAAGTGGAATGGAATGTGTTTTGTCGTTGATTCAGCCACCCACTCTGTAAAGGCTTTTCGTTATAAATAGTATTTTATACAAAAAACTTCGTCTTCGTTTTTCCTTTGGAAATTCCCAAATCTTAACAATCTCGTAATAACCCATCGAACACAGCTCTGGATTTCTTTTTTAGAAATTGAAATAACAATGATATTTAAGAAAACACTTCATTTTAATTGCCAGTAGAAGTATTTCGATTTCTTGATAGCCAGTACAGTCCATCTGTTTTTTTCCGCTTTTGTGTATATTTTTGATATACTGGACTTGTAAATAAAATTTTTTGCAACACTTCACAGTGAGAGTTTTGCCGTGTTATTCTAACATCCTAAGCATGCCGTGAGTTCACATTTAAAATTCTGAAATTCCGAACTCTCAATTATGTAACACTTCACGTGATACGGTTAGAATCATTCATATCAATAAAAACAATTACAAATCTTCAACATCATATTTTCAGCATTAAAAAAGAGATTTTTGGAATTGGAATTTTTTCAAACGTAATATTTTAGTGATAAAAACATATACTTTACAGTGTTAGAAAAACAATCATTTTTTACTAGTTTTTGTCTGCTAATGAGTGAATGCATTATGTGATGGAATATTCGTATAAAAAGTGTAAGAATATAAACAAAATATTCCGTCAAAACATTAATCCGTAATGAGCAATTGCCCAAAGAGGTCATCAGTGGAGAGTTCGTGATAATAAGTTTGAAAAAATGAATGCATGAAAAATTATATGAGGAGATAAAGAAACAAGATTATGCAACTCCTTACTGAATAAAAAGGAGTGTCATATATTATCCTAAACAAATAGTGCCATTACGACTAAATACTTTCTTGAGCAAATGATTCCGGGCAGAAAAAAGTGAAAGCAGTGGAACTAAGGAATTATAACTCGGTTTTTAAAGCCTTCGATTTATAATAATTAAATGTTTTTACCAATGACTGCTTAATTTGGTGAGCACAAGCATTGCTATAGACGTACAGCAGCTTTGCAAATGAAATCGGATCACCGTTTGCCAGAGAACCCATCCCCAACCATGCAGTGCTTAAAGGTGCAGCACCACGTCCATAGCATGCCATATATGATTCCGGTGCAAATTCATACGCATATCGCTCAAATTCACCATGACGAAAATTCTGACCTAAATTTTTATACAAATAGTTTAACGAAAACTGCAAACTATGTTGAAAACTAGGACTGGGTTTGGAAGTGAAAGAAACTTTTGTAAAGAATGAAGTTCGAAACTAGGCGAACAAAAGTCAGGATACATTTTAAATAATTAAATGACGAATAATGTTTTAAGATATGGACTCTAAATTGCGATTTCAAAGACAAATTTGGGAAAGATAAAGAAATATTTCAATTACGTGGCTTGAGTTTCGTTTAAATAAAGTACTCCCATTCTTTTTTTTTTTTTTTCTTAAACAAGTATATTAAGTGCCGCAAACAGAATAATTAACAGAAATCTCGATGTTTTGTCATTATTCCAATAATGAATTCAAATCAAAGAATGTCGACCAACCAGAATCTAACTTTTCCAAATTGCCACTATGAGTGCTGTAAGCAGTACGCACTATTTCGCCGCTCAAAACCGTACAGGTACTATTGACCCAATGCCATCCTAAAAAACAGAAATCTTCATGTTACGGAAATGAAAAATTTGGGTGGATGAATTCAAACATTCACATACATCATCAAAAAAAAAAAAAAAACGGGTTAAATTTTCGACGCAATTATTAAGTCTAACAGTGGCAAAATGGGAACCGTTCAGATAAAATTATGCCTTGATATGTTTATTTTAGATTTGTTTATCATTAATCACTTCATATACATAAACCACTTTTGTTCACAACCGTGATAAGTTTGTGTCTTTAAAGCAGTACAAGATGCACACGATTGTTCCTATCCCATAATTTCTCATTTGTGCCTTTAAATATTGTGTGCATTACTGAACTAAATCTATGAATTGTGAAAAAGGATAATGCTTGATTCATTAATGCACTTTTTTTTTGATCTACTACTTGATTCCATCTCTGCACAAATAAGATATATGTGCCTTGCGCGAACATTGGAAAAAGTGAGTTAAGAAAAAAAATTTACCAGCAAAACCAGCTGTTCGGTACGGTGCACGAAAAACAATGATAAATTCAGTGATGGATGCGTAAATAATGTTCATCTGTAAGTTTAATCCACCACCATAAACGGCTTCCCAGTCACTGTCGATGATTTGTAATGGATATGAACGGCGTAAATCGTTTCGTAATTTATTTACACTTGTAATCCCACTACTTCCTATTATGGAGAACTAATTTGTAAAAAAAAGTTTTTTTATAAAAACCCAAATTTAAAAAGAAAACTGAAGCTTGAAATGAAGTAGATGAAGTAAATGAAAGAGGTTAAGACTGAATGGGACAAAGCAAAGAGTGTAAAGACTCTCAACTACTTAAGACATATCCAAATTAAATGGTTAATGAGGATTTTCATGTCATGAAATCCTCTGTCATATGATTTCTTCATGAAAGTAAATATGTATAAGGGACAATAAATAAATAATAAAAAATATAAGGGACAATAAATAAATAAAATGGACATAAACCAAGAACGTCAATTTAGAACTCAAAGGCTTTAAAACAAGACATTATACCGTGTGCTGCAATACAGGCTTGTCGAAAAACTTTCGGTGAAATGGAATATGACTTCCATCGTAGTATGTACTGTACCACACTATACAATACGATGACGAAGACCACATAACGAACCACGCGAGTGAACACAAAAGCCATCGCTGCTAAAGACTTGCCTGTATATTTTCCAGCTGAAATCTAGCTCGTCTCTTCAAACACTTCCCACAATGCCACGTGACGTAACCACACGAAACGTCTGACCCAGCCCACCACTTTAATCCCACCAGAGCAACTAAGTAACTGCGCCAATATCCCCTCCAAACCAAGAAGAGTAAACCGACGCGCCTTGAAACATTACCGTGTCAGTAGATGACAATGTTATAATGGAAGTGCTGTGAAAATTAGTTGTGACCATAAAGGTGAACCTTGCAAAAGACTGCAAATAGATATTGTACAACTGTTAAGCTCGACTAAACGAACAGTTGAGAATGTATTGTCATTGTTCCAAAGCTTCTTTCTATTTTACGGCTTACCGAGCAAAAAGAGAAGAAGAATAGTAAAAATTAGCTGAGATGTATTGCAGTGTAAAGCTAAACTTGAGACGAACACGGCTTGCATAATTTGCCCTTTATGATTTTAGTTAAATCATCGGTCGTACTGTCTGCGACCATTACATCATTGAGAACAGTGCTCGACTACAACTGTCCACTAATTTACCGAAGTAGTAATCGCCGTAAATCGCTGCTCATCTTCTATTCGTTGTGCAGATCAAGGTCTTTCAGTTTATATGATGCATGACCAATGAAACATTTCCTTCTTTAAAAAATGATTTGTCAACTCCTCCACAGGATACCTATCAGCTTACAAGGTTGCAGTACATTTCTGAAGAACGCGATGTCTTAAAATAATATCCATTTTCTTTAATTCCGGAATTCGTGGCCGCGCGCCAGATTGACATCGATGATTCATTTTTGACTGCATTTTTTGAAGATACATGGGTCCATTCATAATTTGGACGTTTTCTTCCTCTTTCGCATTTTCAAATTCTCCGAGAAATTGACCATTCCGAGAAACTAAGTGACGGTCATTTTGTGCATTTTTTCCACAAAACTTTACTAAAGGTCAGTTTTCTTCAGCTGAACCAGTAATATTCGTTGAAATGAACATGAGAAGAACACAGCTATTGACTCCGTTACTTAGAGAAGGTTTGTTTTATTGAATAATTCTACTTTAAAAAATTTGACATTTATATACAATTAATCCTTAAGGTTACTGAATAATATATAATCTAATGGTATTAGTGGCTAAATAATTCTCGAGTGAAGTACTTCTTCATTTCCCTCGCTTCACTGGAAAAATTATTGAGAAACTTAAATTACTCCACTCGCGAATCTAACACTTTTATTGTGGATATATTTTACTCACTCAGTGGGTGACATTTTCACCAATATGCCAATGCTTTCCAGATAAAATTGGAATATTGTGGGTCAATTCGCAGCGTGAACAGTCATCTGCCAAACTAGCGCAACATTTATGGAACAAAAGCACATTCCGTAGTTGTACCGATGGAGCTGCTAATTTCATCATGTCGCTTGTCAAGTAAGCCTTTATTAACGTGGTTTTGTTGAGGCTTCGAGTTATAAAAACTTGAATAGAGCTTCCAGGAATGAAAATTACGTAATACCTGATTTGATTTCTGGCGATTTCGATTCCATTACCGTTGCGGCGAGGAAATTCTTCGAATCAGAGGTTGAAATTGTGGAAACTCCTGATCAAGACTACACCGACATGTGCAAAGCACTGCAAATTATTGCTGATAGGATGAGAAATAGAAAACTGGATGTATGTTGAGCAATTTTCCAGGTCATTCAAGAAGTTTTTGAGCTGTTCCATTGAAAAGTGATAGCAGTTGTTATGAACTACGACGTCTTCTTAAGATCTCATGGACAAAGTTTAAGATTTCAAAAGTTATTGTTTTGGGCGGACTCTTTGGGCGTTTTGATCATGTATTGTCATCTCTACATTCACTGCTACGATTCGATAGCTGCGAAATTGCAATTATTGATGGTGTTAATCTGGTCACGATTTTGCGTGAGGTACAAAAGCTTTATTCCCAATTTATAAACTATGCACAAGAGATTGAATTTGTGATTTCATTCTTGGTAATTTCAGTGTTGTGTGATATTGGCATCTGTTTGCCTGATTTTAGGGTTCTACGAGCTTAGATTTCGCTGGAGGCCAGCATCTTTTAACAGGAAAATGTGGCATTATCCCCTTAATCCAACGCAAAACGATGGTTTCATCGAATGGCTTGAAATGGAATTTAGGTACTGGAATAAAATCTTCTATAATCTTCCCTGACAATCTCAAGCTATCGTTTTCTCGAGTTCACTAGTATCGCCAGTCAAAGTCTCAAGTAATTAAACGCCCACAATAAATTTGGAATTAAAGTTTCCTGGCAAATACATCAGTCCTCACGCAATACCTATTATCTTTCATAAACCTCACTTTATTTTGCTATTCTTCAATGCAAGTAGTTTTCAGATAATACAGAACTTGCATTTGGCAAACTTATCAGTACGTCCAATGAAATGGTCAGTGATACAGTGTCGATAACCTGCACAGCTCCAGTAGTGTTCACCATAGAACTGTCAGAAAATGCTTTATCACTGCAATAATCTGGATATTTTTTATCACAAGGGGAAATAACTATTGGAATAAAGGCATTATCTTTAACTCTCTTATAAAGGCAACATGAATTTATTTTATTCCAATACAATGTATTTCAATTTATGACACAAATAACAAAAAAATACCTACAATAACAATACTTTGATATTTTCGAACTAGCTTTGATTTTAAGCAATAATATCTGGGAGCGAATAATATATAAGCGATGATTCATGTTTCACTGCTATATAAGCACAAAATTTTCAGCAAAAATTGCAATATTCTAATGTTAAATTAACCGCTTTCAGCAAACCATTTTCTTTACTTTTGAAACAACTGCAATTTCTCTCTTCTTCCCTTTTAGTAACCTCTTCATTTCATTCTGGAAGCGAATAATATGTATATTTAACAGGAAAATATAAAATATTATTTTTTTAACTGAGATTTAAAACTTGGTCTAGAAATTGAGAAGCAAAATTTTCATGTCTTTCGTTGTGCGTAATAACCATACCTTTCCTCTTCTACGTTTGTTAATCGGTATATACATATATGGCTCATATTTTTCATTCTTTTTCCTTGTATCTCCAGCAGTTCGTCTCCTCAAAAATTCGTTGGAGGACGTAATGCCAGTGAAACTTTTACATACATTCCTGTGAATACCTTTCCCACCAGGTTTCCATCCATATTTGTCGTTAATAGTCTGAATAAAATTTTTAGGAAACACTGTTCAGAGATCAAATTTCTAAAAGCAAAAGACTTGCACAATGATTGTTTTCTGAGATCCGAAATTCTTATGTGCATCGCTAAAAGAAACAAAACATGACAAATTATAAAATAAAACACAAACTTTGCTGTTACTATCGCAATCACTGTCACTATCGTTCTTCGAACCACTATCCCTTCTCATTTTCTTATCCGGCATATCTAACAACTTTATGCGTTGCTTCCGTTTCCTTTTATCTTGTTGATCTATATCGAGATTTTCAATTATTATTCGTCCATCTTTCGCCACTTCGAAACTGCTACTGGATTTGTCATTGCCATTTTCATTTATTTCCTGTAACCTAAAATACCACAAAAATTTGAACACATCTCAAAAACGCTCAATAAATTAGAAAAAGAATTCGTAAACAAATCAATAGATGATCATCAATGACCAGAAGCAATTTTAAGAAAAAGGAGAGCATTATGGTCATTCTCAGAAAATCTCACTTTTTGTCTTTCAGAAGGCCAGAACGGGACGTTGCAATTTTTTTTAGTATTTTGTTTCGGTCGAGTAGGTCCATCATATTTTCATCATCATCATCATTCTTTAACCACATCGAGCTACCTCGTGTTCGACCTCCGATCGACTCACGATCTATTTCTACTTCACTTTCCTGGAATGAATTTCTTTTACAAACTATATGGTATCGAATTGAACCAACTCAATAATTCGACTTTACTATTAGAGGATAAAACATACACTATCTGCATCACAAAGCATATTCAGTACTGTATCTGCACCCGCAGTTCGAGCACTCGAAGCCACGGATACTATATCCTGGTCTTGGCATCCATCAATACTCATATTGTGAGCCTCCGTTCTATTCCTACGTTCACGGCGGCGTCTGCAATATGGAACAGTCTAAACATTCTCAACATTTGTATTATATAAATCAAAAAAACATTTCAATAGTTTCTGCAGTAGCAGTTGTCCGCACAAGTAGTTCCTACAAATAATTTCAAATATGAAATTTTTTTACTCGACAACGACTATTCATAGGAAATGTTTAAAAACAAGCCTTATTTTAGCAATTGCTTTCAGTTGCTTAATCCAATCCAGTTTATTCGTTCGAATCATTAAAACTTCAACACCGTATCTGTCAATTAAAACTTCAAGTAGCAGCCTATTCGCTTTGCGGACTTTTTGCGTCAGATTCGTCACTGACTGGCCGTCGAACACAGCCGACAGTAGTAATTCCTGCAATTCAATAAGCATCAGAATAATTCAGCCATTAATTTGTTAACTTTTAGAAATAACTGAGACGTATATATGTCCCCAACCTGATACTGTTGCATTGTATAGTCTGGCAATTTTTTTGCTAGCATTCGCAACAACCTGATAATTAGCACTCTAATCAGAGGGCGTCCATCACTAATCCAACTACATGCATGTGCTACAAGACGACTCAACAATGAAGCATCCAAAATACGAGTGAATTTCTGTGCTATGATATTCAGAGCAATAGTTGATGATCTAAATAATTAAAGTATTAAACACTACGACTTTTTTATGGTTAATAATAATAGAAATATGTGAAAACAATACATTTGCTACATTCAGTAAAATCAGGGCAAGTATAATTAAAAGTTGCCATTAATAACTTTTGGTAAGTACCAAAGCGAATTCAAGTTGGACAACATGTTCAATACTAAAAATCTGAGGCAAGAAATGAAAACATGGCTTACCGTACGACTTCAACTGAATCTTCATTTGGATATAATCTTTCTGGATTCAACATACCAAAAATTATATTCAATATCGGATGAAGTACGGTTGATGGACTTTTGCTAAAATGTTTTCTTTGCTAGCAATAAACTGATAATTTGCACTCTAATCAATGAAGAACCTAGGTGTTTGTTGTGGAAGTAGAAGAGATTCTATAAACTGATCAATTCCAACTGACTGAATTCTGCACAGCTACACTCGTTAAAAAAGCGCACTAACCTCTCATCTGAACCAGAAAGTATTAACTGCTGACACAGTTTCACGAAGCATTTCAATGCATTTGAACGTGTCCGTATATTGTGTGACTTATCAAGACAAATAATAATTCTTCGAAGAAATTTTTTCCCAAAACTTTCCACATCTTTAAGTGAAGTCAACGAAGATAATTTTACATAATATACTGCGACTAACGCCGCTCGTGCGCTTTTTGCAATGCTATCCAAATCCTGCAATGTCACATTTTCAAATAAACATCGTCTTCACGCAATTTGTCGCAATCATAATGGCATTTAAACAATCTACCTGATCAAGAACATTATTTATTTCATCGGTGCTGCAAGCAAAAAAGTCCTTCACAGCTTCATCATTCATTCGTTTCATAATTTCTTCTAAAATGCGGAATGCTTTCTTTTGAAGCGCTACTTCACTACAAATAAACCATGGCTGTATGCTCGGAAACATACTGCTCAATCCTGATACACTTGCTTTCTTCACCAGTGCCGCCATAATATCCAAAACTCGAATCTTAATATATATATATATATATAATATATATGTACTTTAAAACTGAAAAAGATGGTTTTCATTATTCATTTTCTTAAAACAAGATATAATAAAATAAATATTTCAATAAAATCCATGTAACACTATGTTCCATGAAACAAAATCCATGGACATTTTTAAATTATCACTTAGTTGTAAAATGTAAAGTGAAAAATACTTTTTGGTCCAAACCCATATCTTTGATTTGTGCCTTTTCAACAGCCAAATTTACGAAATTATCAATCACATTATTTGGCGTTAATTCCACATACATGCGAACAGTTTCCAGAATAGAACAACGCAAAGTTTTCAGACTATTTCCAGTTATACCTTCCATAGATTCCATAGTGATATTAGATACAGTGTACAGAGTACATAACTTTCGTAAAAAGCTGTATGCAAAAAACCTCATCACATCCTAAAATAAAAATTACGAAGTCATCATTACTAAAATTATTTATTAATGTCATTATTATTATTATTATTATTGTTATTAGCTTATACCCAAAACCATAAGCAAGTAATGAACCTTTTTTGCTTCTGCCGCATCCGGCTGGAGCGCGTAACGCAGTGCGCTACGAAGCGACGATAGTACAATAAGACGTAGATCTCGCTGTTCAAGTAGAACTTTACCCAAAATTTGGGCTAAATGAGGAAAATTTTGCTCAAAATCGGTTGCTGAGCTCAATAAATTCGGTAGTAAATCCCACAATTGGTCCTGGAAAAGTTTGTTTGAAATTATTAGTTTATTTGACAGAGAAAGAGTAATTTGAAAACGATTAGTCTCTAGAAAGTTACCAGCTAAGGTAATTTATAAATTCCAGAAGTTATGACAACATAAGCAAATAACAAGTGGTTAACTTACACTGAGAGTAATAAAAGTTTTCCGTCTTACAACATCACTCGGTACTTCCCTTCGAAGTCGATGTGCTAGTGGTAAAAAATATTGTAATGCAAAAGCAATTGATTGGTTGAAAATGTTTATGCGCAGAATAGGCACAAGCCAAGATCTCTCGAACTGGGTTACTATTGGCACATTTTGAGCATCCAATTCCAATGGCAACACACGCAAGACGTTCTCAGCACCAATATGTCGTACTGCCGCTCCAACAACCTTAAACTCTGCCTATTTTCTGAGCATAATACAACTAAGTCATGGAACGAATAAGATTTCATCGAGTCTGGTGCAGTCAAAGTAGGGAAAATCTAGAGAATGCCAAAAAGCCGTTACCAAGTCAATATCAGGTATAATGGAGCGATTAACATCATTGCGCAATCCCGCGAGAGTTTTCAATGCACGTCCAAATGGTTCCTGGGTGATAGCGCCTTTGCAAACTTCGAATATTTTTGTTTCAGTGCGGAGAACATGTCGCCACACTGCGACACTTCGTGGATTCAAAGCTTCGTCACACAAATCGATAGAATAATTTGCTAATTCCTCATCTGACTGCACACAATGTTCCATTATGCGACTAATTACTTTGTAAGTTGTCTAAAAAAATCAAATTTTAGCCGAGCGACATTAATGTATTAGTTAACAGAATTTACTTAGAAACCAAAAAAGAAATTCCGTCCTGATCTTTAGTCCGAATCAACGTTATACTCAAACTTAGGGTGACTACATAATTCCAATTCTATACAAATTTACACTTAAACGACCTTAAACTGAATTAACCGACAGAAAAAAGAAAATAACAATGAAGATCCTCATATCTATTGATATAAATTAACTTAGAAAACTGATTACTTTGAATTCTTTGAAGACTAAATGTAATTTAAATAGCTGACTAGCCTTCATGACAAAGTTTGAAAATTTCGCTCCAAATTACGCAATCCAACGTACTTAAATAAGTGTTTAAAAAAAGGACAACGAAACAATAAAAAGAAGCGTTACCAGGGCAACAAAATCTTTTCCTAAATCGAATGTTTGGAAAATCAGTTTCAATGAAGCTTTCAACGTTGCCATTGATTTTGCATGATCTTTCGTAGCGAGACAAAGATGTGATTCACAAAGAGCCTAGAAATACTAGCTTCCTACTATGCAAAAAATATCAAATTTGAAAAAGATCGACCGATTCAGTTTTTATTTCCAAATTTGGTCTAGAAAGAAGTTATTTGATGTAAACAAACCTCCATCCATGGACATGTAATAGATGGGTCCATGGCATTCGACGCAAAATCACGTAACAAATCAATCAGAAGAATATTCGTAGTGGCGGGTAAAGTTGTATCAGCTGGTTGCAGCTGTAGAATTTTTCGAAAACATTGGAAAATCGTGCACTTTAGATCGGAATCCGAAATAGATAACAATGCAAATGTCGTCTCCGCAAACTTTTTGAATATTAGATGTGGCATTTTATGCATAATATTTTCCGCGAGGCAAAACAATCGAAGCAAAACATCAACGTCTACACTGGCTGTAATTCAACAAAAATTACTGTTAGTTACATCTCTTGCAAATTTTTGTTCCATTTTTAGATAAATAAAAAAGCAGGGCAAAAAATAAACGATACATCTAATGGGAAGTTAGAACAACGTTAAGATTTTTTTTCTTACTCTGAATTCATAAAAAAAAAATTTTGCTTCGTAGTCCAGATGAAACCGTTTTTAACTACATACAACACTTTTTGAGTTGCTGTTTATCTGCTTAAGCTACGAAGCAAATTGTTTACCAGCACTCTGTTCCATCTGTTTCATCAACACCTCCCCAACAACTGTGGCGCCCCGGTGGCAACCACTAGATGTAATCATAACAGGATCGGTAAGGATAGTACGTAGAGTTCGTCGAGCTGCAGCGCGAACCAAGGATTTGTTATGGACCGCAAACATTTCAATTTTTACTAGTGATAACCTTCAAATCAAAAAACTTTTTAAAAAGAATTAAGTCGAAAGAATACTTATCAATTTCCCACAAGAGTATAATAAAGGTCAGTGCTATACTTGATGGAGATCACCATAAATATTCGAACAGCACCAATCTACGAATAAATATAAAAAAAGTGCAAGACTTAAAAATAAGGAGATACGCCTCGAAAAAACAAAGTGAAACCACAACACAAATAAAAGGATACTCTTCAATCATAAGACATTTTAATCCTTATATTACAACAAAGCTTAGTTCATGTTGTAATTTACTTTCATTACTGACTATTCCTGAATCCTCAACAACATCAACTTTTATGATTTGCACATTAAAAATTTACAATAGTTCAGAATTCTTAATCAGTATGGAAATACCTCATGTACTCTAGAAAAGCATTTTTGTGACACACTTTTGCAGACTTTTTTAACCACAAAACTTAACAAATAAGTAGCTGCAGTTAATTTCAATTCACCCATAGCAAGCACTGCTTCGACAACTGTCAAAAATAGCAAAACACAAAACATATACAAACCAATAACTAAATCTACAAGAAACTAACCTGGTATTACTGTTTTGCCAAATGCTGGCAGCTTGTTGATGCAAAATCACCCCTAATGTAGCGATAAGTTTTGCCAAAGCAACATCCAGCTGAGTTTTATCAAGCTTGTTTTCCAGAATCTGCATATAAATAAAACACTGCAAGTACTACACACTTTGCTGAAAACTACGAATTTTGCACCACAGGAAAGAAATGAATATACGGTATAGTGATACTGATGTACCAATCCACACACATTATTACTAATGAGATAGGCTTCAAAAAACCACAACGCATAAAAAAATACTCTTCAATCATAAAACCCTTATTAATCTTCATATTACAATGAACTCCACGTCGTAATCTGTTTTATTATTGATCATTCTTGTATCCCCAGAGCAACTTTTATGATCTGTACATTAACAGTCTATAATAGCTTAAATTTTTAAGCAAAATGAAACTACCTCATGTGCTCTAGAAAAACATTTTTGTGACACACTTTTATTGACTTTTTTAGCCACAAGGCCTAATAAATAGGCAGCTGCAGCTAATTTTGATTCATCCACAGCAGGCATTGCTTCGATAATTGTCAAAAGTGCAGCAAAATATTCAGCATCACTTTCTGTTCCATTAGTATCTTTAATCAGTTCAGCAGTTGCTGCAAGCACGGCGAGCACTTCATTTTGCAACACTGATCCCGACCTATAAATGTATTATCTATATGTAAACATTAGCCGACACATTTAGTTAACTACATTTTTGACATTTTACGCACAGGAAGCACAGTATGCTGAAAATTTTTATTTAATCGAAGGCTGTTCGACCTGATCACTCCATCCATATGTAAGGAGATGTATTCAGCATCAAAAAATCAAAATTAAAGCTATTATATCATGAAGAAAGTAAAAACTTCTAAAGAGTCTTAAAAATTGAAACAAAAAAAAAAAAAGAAATATTTAGTTCTAAACCAAACAGCTCAGAAACCTTTCCTAAACTACAGTTACAATTCATTACAATCTCTTCCTGAAATTAACCATTTAGGAAATACTTGGATTCTCCAAATTTAAGAAAAAACCCAGCCAGCAGAAATTCAACATGCAATTATTATGAATTCAGTACCTCCAAATACGATGCACAGGATCGAAAGTTGGATTTGTACAAGATGTGAATTGCGAAAGCTGTGACTGCGCCGAAGTTAGCTCCGAAAAGTTGCTTCTTATAGTTTTAATTTCTTCAGCATCATCAATTTGCATCTTATGCTGGAGTTAAATTACAACTTAGTGCGTTTCAAGGATTATTAAATTTACGGACATTCAACGGGAACATTAAAATCGGAAAGCAAATTATTTGGTAACTAAACCTCATTCATTTTCAATCGACTATTGCTTAAATTCATGAATTTTAAGGAATTATAAAGACCAAGTTAAGGGTTGTGATTTAGATATTAACAATAACCAAAGGTATCTGTTCCAGCACCGCATCCTCATCACCGAATTTGACGTTATAACTTTTATCTGCTTGTATTTTCTGAACGATATGGGTTGCTCTTGCGGCTTCACGATGTCGAGTTATCGATGGATTACTTTCGCTACTGCAATGTTTGTATTAATTTTAAACTTCTTACAGCCATAGTCGATAGAATACTGCAAAAAATGGTACTGCTATTACTGGTATGGCATAGGCAAGATTTAATAACAAGTTAACCTTTTCCCTTTCGTAATGCGACTGCGTGCACCTCGACTTTTGAAACGATGCCGATATTTCATCGTAATAAATTTGAAACCTGCTTGAACACCAAACTAGGACGAGATCAACCTAAAACTCTAGTAGGACGAGAATAAATACATACTGGTCAGTCAATTTTCAACGGACTACTCGTTGAGCGTGAAATTAAGCATCACGCGTCTCTCCGTCCATCAAGCTGCGGAACTGTTCACTCCGGTCGCTGGACATTTGCTGCTGCTAAGGACGTTTTTCCGCTCGGTGGCTTGTGCGGTGAATGGAATCGGTAGGGTGTCGTTGTTTCATGTGATAGCGCGCTGAGTAGGTGAGGCTTCATGCATGCATGCAGTCATGCATCAATTCGATGCAAATGCGCGTGCACAGTAGTCTGTAGCTTGGTCAGATATAAAAGTAGACATGAAGCTGACGGCCATGACATTTGTATTTACCTAATGAATAGACTGGAGATGAACAGCCTGGATGAGTTAAATCTGACGGCTGTTTTTGTCAAGTGTCGTAATTATTTGGCACATAGCTAACTACTTGCATATACTTCATTTCGCGCAGACCATTAATATATTGGAATACATTTTCTTTATTATTAAAACATTAGGTCATTTATCATTAGTCAAGTCATACTAATCTCATTTATCATTACTATAAATCATATTCTAGATTCCTTATCACTACTGTTTCTTTTGTTCTATTTACTGCTACTAGTTTCATTTCAAAATTGCTGATATTAGTCTTTGCTTTGATACTCATATAACCTAATATTTCAAATAGAATTCCTGAAAATGTATTGTCCCAATGGTGATTTATCTTAGATGCTATCCCTGCATGAAGCTTCCTCTGCAGATTAATGTCATAGTATAGTGCTTTCTGCTAAGCATAACTTATTTGTTATGACCACATGCTAGTAACTTTTCGCACTGCAGTTTCGTTTGCATCTACCTTGTTGCATGTTAAACTATAAGTTTTCAGTTATTTTACTTTCACTTCGTAAGAAATGAAATTGAAGAATTAGGTTTTGAAATTTGAGGTTTGAGAACAGGAAGAAATAGCTAGAAAAGAGGAAGATTACGAAGACTACGATAATAAGAAGACAAAATTCATCAGTCTTTCCAGTGGAGTGTTTTTCTTTTACAAATGAAAAGATTTTAATGCAAGCCGATGTTTTTTTTTTTTTTGTAAGTTTTCTTGAGACCGCTAGAAAACTGGTCTTCTGGAAAACCTTACAGCCTAATTCCACTAAAGGGCTGTTATGGTTATGATTTACAGTAGTTTATAATACTTCACTGAGTTTATGTCTTCATTAATTAGTTTTGCAGTTTCTATGAACTTTCATCTTAATTTTCAAAATAGCCCAGTTTTACAATAGAATAACTTATCCATTTAGTTTAATTTCAGGGTGAATTCATACAACCTGTTGCATCGTCCTACCACTGTAAGTTTAGCTAATTTTCGAGTTTTTTACTTTTGTTTTTTGTTTTTTTTTTTTTTTTTTGCTGCTTCTCAACTAGAACAAATCAAGATGGAAATAATACACTTCACTGCATAGAAGGGTGATATTCACCTTGAACACTCTTTGTGCACATGCTCAAATTTTAAAAATAACATTTCTTGACCATAAATGATTAACACAAACAAGATGCACTTTTTTGAATAATTCGTTTGTACTGCCAGACTAATGCGTAATATATATGTGGATTTTATTAAACTGCCTCTCTCATTTCAAGTTTTTTACTTCATTTGAAGTTCTAGTCCATATATATTTTCGTAATTTATACTTAATAAAGAGATTTCATTTTTGGCTTTTATGCAATTATGTCTAATTAATTTAGCTTGGCCACGTTACGAGAGTCGTGGTGGTGGTCGTTTGCTGAGAAATTTGCCTGGACCAATGGGTTTTCGAGGAGGTCGTTTTGGTTATGGACCAATGCGAATGCCTCGCGGGACGCCGCGGTTTATGTATGGACGTATTATGAAGCGAGGATTTGCACAAAGGAGACCGTTTGAAGTTAGATCTTATCAACTATTTTCTTTAGAAAATTACTGAATTGAGTTTAACCAAGGTGCTTATATTTTCTTTAACTAGTGGTTTATTCCCCACCGTTTATTTGATTTAGTGGGAGGTCTCGCAGGAAAGCTTAAAAGTAACAGTTTCAAATTTTTCTCCACTTTTTAGTTCAAGAAATTGCCCGAAGCAGCTAAGTATAAAGAATATGCGGTTGCTCCCGACAACATAATATGCTTCTCAGGCTTCCAAAATGTCTTCACAGCCCAACACGATGTTTGTTTTTATGGTTTTTCTTTGTTCAGTTTCGAAATCTTCGTGAAGTCAAGGCACAAACTTTCTTCTTTCGGTGTCATCAAATTTGATAGGAATGAGTTTTGGGTTGGCTGATGATGGTAAGTAATGCTGATGCTTTTCGGTATTCTGCTCACTATTATAGTTTATAAATTCCATTGATTTCCTGCGAAAAAAAAAAGAATGCGTAACTTTTTATTCACTAAGTTTATAGTTTCCGTTGGAGATCGATGGTCGAGTGTATGACAATGTTAACCATTTTTATCAGCTTGCTAAAACAGAAGCGCTGTGTGGCGTCACATCATTGTTAATGACAGAATGTGTTGAAGTTGATAGTTCATCGAAGTCGACACCTAAAGACTATAATACACTTGCACGAAATATCTTGAAAATCAATAAAGTAAGTAGTGAAATTATTCTATTACAGAAAATCATTTTTGACGCATTATGAGGAAAGCACCGGGGAAAGCAGTAGTTCGAAACTCTTCATATATCAAAAATAAAATGTTTTCAGGTGAGTAGAAATGCTGCGGAAGACTGGCGGAAAGGTCCTGGTCTTGAAGCAATGCAGGTATGTGGTGAGAATTATCAGATGATTTATTAGTTTTTGTGAAGGCTTTTGTCTTTTTTTTTTTTTGACATTTAACATCCCATCTGGCATATATCTGGTAACTTCCAGTTTATAGGATTTGTAACTCATTTTACATGCTTTTAGTCAAATATTGTATTATTGAATGTTTGAACTAAGTAGCTTAAATAGTTATAATGATTATTTCTTTACACATCAGTTGACATGAAATGAATTATAAATGAGAAAATATGTTGTAACTACCCTAACATATATTAGAACATCCTATTCTATACAATAGCTTCCGGTTGACTTGAAGGTATGTTCTCAAAGTTTTCTTCCTGCTGTTTTTTCTCATGCACTTAGCCAGTGAAGATAGTAGGCAGCAGCTATCTAGAAATTAATATTTTTAAGTATCTTTAGTCAGTAAAGTTTTATTTAGCGTGCATTATTAGCAAAAGTTGAACAGTGTGAAGAGCTTCGAAAAGAATTAACGGATTCTGGCGATAAGTTGCTTGTACACTGTTTCGGCGGTGACGATTTCTATGCAAGTGCTTGTAATCACAATTATATACAGGACTGGGCAAAAAGCATGCAAAACAACAAAGTCATGATTAAGGTAACCAAATATAATAGATAAAAGGTCATGGTGTCAAAATTTCCTCTGTGAATTAATAGGATTAGCTGCACTTTTTGATTCAAATAATTGTTTGTTTGCAATCCATTTTTAAGCGTGTTAAATAGTCTTCTTACTCTTCCAGATTCCAATGGAATTCCCATTAACTAATGAAACAGTTCTCTCAATTCCCAAGTTTGGTCTTGGTCGGAATGTCCTGGGCGTAATTTATATGCAGTTACGAGAAATGGTACTTGTTTGCAATTTCATATTTTTTTCTTCACGATGAAACAGTTCTTCCCAATAAATTTTTTGTGCAAAATTTTATTTTCTCTATAATAACATTTTCCAGTTACGTGACGGTGTTTTACCATACAAAGGAACAACAAACAAGGTATATCTTTCTATACTTGCGATAAATAACAAATGATAAGATATATACGATATACAAATGATAAGATATATACGATATACAAATGATAAGATATAAGATATATATTATTTTTCAAGTGATATATACAGTTCAGTGCACATTTTAGACGCAATACTGAAGAAGTCAAGAATTTAGCTATTATATTTTCTTGTATGTAATTTGAATCTTTTTGGTTCTTGACAACTATAGGCGTCGTGTGAAAGTCAAAATATGGAAATGCAATCTGAAGAACTGGCAGGACCAAGCATTGTCCCGAGTGTACCGGCTCCACTTAAAGTGTGTTTTTTTTTTCCTTTATTTTTGGTAATAGTGTTTGACATCGGTAAAATTCCGTTGAACACCCGCAAATATATTCCATTTCATGTTTTGTTATTTCCTTTAATGAGTATTTTATTACACGTTTGTTCCAAATTTTGTAAGATAAAGTTTTAGAGTGATACGCGTGAAAATAGTTCAAGCGACGGTTTCATCATTGGTGGTGGGTCGATACAGGTTAATTTTTATTTCTTGACAAGTTTCAGAAGGCTGTGTCTTTATGCTTTAAGGAGAAAGTAGCATAACTGAAAACAAAGTGATTCTCAGATCTAAGGCATGATGAAGATGAAGATATTTTCTCCAAGTTGATAGATGTCAGTAACATAATCAGAAACGAATTTCAGGTTCATAAGTTTTCTCTTTAATCTTTATCTCCTTTTTAAGAAGTTAATCAGTTACCTAGGCTTGAAAATATTAGAATTCATTTGTTCAAAGGACGTTTTTCAATTGTAACGTAACTTTCCAGAGTTCAATGAAATCACGTTCTGCAGCCAGTACTACTTCTCGTAATGTCCTTTCGGTACCTCTGGAGTATCTTGCCAGCTTTAGCAGCAAGTGATAGGTTTATGTAACTGAGAGTGGGTAACTAGAGCCTTCACTTTTTTACAAAAAGATTCCAGATTTAAAACTGTCACTTTTTGTTCCATATTCCAGAGGAAGCAAGTTCACTGAAATTGGAACAAAATCCCTTATTTTTTTAAAAAAAAAGTGCTGAATGGTTTTCGCATCATGTGAAAAAAGATTATGAGTTATTTGCATTGAATTATGATGACTTATTCTAATCTGGTTTGACCATAATTTTTCTTTTTTTTCGATAAAATCAAAATAAGGACTTGCAAAGAAAGTTTTATGATTTTAACTTTCTTTTGCTGGATATGGATGATTTTAAATACATTTGGATTTTAATGGGCTTTGTAACATCATCTTCAGTTCCGTGTCAGAAAAAGTTTGCATTTGAAAAAAATGTGGAAGTATAGTCTATGCTGCTTTTCGATTCATTTGCAGGAAAGAGTTACTTAAAATTCTGTTCGCATGGATTTTTTAAATTCTCTTCTTACAATTTAACCTTTGTTTCTGGCTATTTCCTTTTTTACCAATTTTGAGAAATTTTGTTGAATTCTATTTATGCTATTATTGTTTATGTTATCGTTTTCCTTGAGTTCTATTCGATATTCACATTTTTGCATTTCTTTACAGTTAGATACAGTAATTCCCTTCATTTTGCCGTAAATTTGATTCTTTAAAAATTTCAGTCAATAAATTGAATCAGAAAAACTGAATTTCGTTACCTCGCTATTTAAATTGCAATTATGTTTTAGTAATATCTAGGCAGATAGAAACTTTCGAAAGCATCCATGGCAGCATGGTTTACTCATCTGCTTTACCCCTTATCATGCACTTTTGTTTTATTCGTTGTATTTCGCAAGAAAATGCTTTCTTTATGTTGAGTAGGTGAAGATACTGATATTTTGCCCATACTAAATTAGAGTTTCTAAAAGCTAACCAAATTCCAAGTTATAGTTTAGTGAGTGAACATGATTATTCTTATAGTTTTAGAAATCTGTTAAATTGTATTCAGTTTTTTCTGTGCTAAGTTGACAAGAAATATTTAAATTGAAGAAGCTGGGGAAAGAAAGGAGAGATGGCGAAGTGCACATGATTTGTATTTAGAAGTTTAGTTTCACTTGAAATCACAAAATTGTAATCATCGAGTGCGAATTTATTACTTTCTTATTGTATAGATCTTTTTAATTCATGCCCAAAGTGCCCAAAGAATTCGGAACTGAATTTGATTCTTAATTTCTCTCACGAAAACGGAATGCTTTCAACATATTTTCATTCAACATGAAATGGCGAGACATTCGGTCTTCAGATGTGTTCGAATTGAAAAGTATGCTTCAAACGAATGATCAAAGACTAAAACTTGGGGTCCTCAGGTACCATTAATTGCGTGTTGATTATGGATTCTTACATTTTAATACGTATTGGAGAATGAAAGCCAATATGGTCGTGTTTATATCATATATATTTGAAAATCGGAATCACAGGGTTAGGAATTGTGGAACAGAACTGCTAAATATTAAAATTTTGCCTTTCAAGGAGGCCAATTATAAGTTAGCTTAAAATTTTGTTTCTCTTGGTTTGGATTCGTCATGCTGAGAAATATTTCGTAGATGATTACATTTTTCATGAAGGAGAATGTTTTTGAATTGAATGGAAAGGTCTTTTTCTCTCCTTAGTTTACGGATGAAAGCATGACTCAGGTTTTCATGTGTTACAATAAGTGTACAGCATTTTAGAGCCGAAATTAAAACAGTCATGATTTTCCGAATTGATTAACTGCTTATAGGAAAATAATTTAAATCTGCTCAGCGAGGCGGTCAGTAGGCCGTTTTTTGAAGCATTTTCAGCATTTTGGCCCTGATGTTCTGCTGCTAAGCTCAACAAATCTGACCGAGAAAGTGATATGTTAATTTTTATTTGTATGTTTTGTTGTTCGTTACCATTGTTGTTGTTACAGTTATTGTTGTATTTGATGATTCCAGGAAATTCTACGGTTTTCGATTTTTGGTGCTGTTTTTAAAATGTTGATAAAATCTTGTCTTTTGTAAAGAGGATATAGTGTCGTTGAAAATTAATGTATCAAGAGAGAAAGCAATTTTTGATTTCACGAGTTTATGCAGCTTGGCCGTAAATCTTGAATATATGGAAATATTAATATTTTTACTGGGACTGTTTTTGATTGTGAGCTGTTTAATGATTAATATAATCTCGAGTGGATGTGGATTCTCTCTGCAGCAAAGTTATTTATGCATTGGGGGTGACGTATAGATTTTTGATTGGTTCGAGATTGGTTCGTGGTTATCAATTCTGGAATTTAACTGTCGGAATAGTAGAATTCCAAGTAAAGTCTCGGGATATAGAATGTATCCCCTAATTCTATGGGCTGCTCCTTTATGTCTCTTCTGAACAATAACAGTCCTTTTCAGTTGTTTGATTATGAGTGAATTGTAATTGATTGCTTTGACTCGGACCGCCCTTACTCATAAGGTTCGATTTTTTCTACCCCGTGAATCTAATTTCTAAATGACATGAGCGTCACTGATTATTTATAAATCTCCTTTGATTTCATGAGAGTCCATGTTGCTATTTCCTGCAATAATTCATTTGGTTGACAATGAGTGAGCGCTGAAATCATCTATGTTGTTGTCTTGAAGAGAATAACATATCATATATTGTTGAAAATTGAAAATCCGCTGTCCCTCCGTGTAGTATTTATCAAACTTGCAATATAGGCTAGAAACAATGATCTTATCAGATTTCCTAACAGTTCTGCTATTCAGTAGGTCTTTCTTCCTTTCTCTAGTCCGAATGGCATAGGTCGAACAAGAAATGCTATTCTTCCTTAACTGACTTTTATAATTCAATGTTCTAGAGCTAAACGTCAAAATTCCATACGACACCAGTATAAATTTGATTACCATTATGAAATTAAAAGCAGATCATTTATTTCTTTCTCTTACAATCATTTTATAGCATTTCATTTCTTCTTTATAATTTATTATCACGTACCGTTACTTTTCTTGACATTATAATCTATTATTATCCACTAGTCTTACTGCATCATTGTTCTTTTGGCCAAGTCTCTTGAAAATGAGCTCAAATGAAATTACGAAATTAATTTAACTTTATAATTTCAACCTATTTCTACAATGTAAACTTGGTATTGTGCACCAGAATTAGTTTTATAAGATTGATTAATAGTACGGGAATAAATGCAAATCATATGCTATGTTATGATGCATTGCGGAAGTAAATTTATTGAATGATATTGCTACTATAAAATAACCATATTGGTATATATGGCTCAATATACCCAATCGTGAATTCGTCATTATAAATGAGATTAGTGGGAACAAATTGTAGCAAAAATATATTTTTTGTAATTTAGTACATTTATTGATGTTGTCAAAATAAAAGCGTAATTACTTTATTGAAAAGTCTAAGTAAATAGAGTTGATTATTTGCATTAGTACTGTTGATAATGGCTAACGGGCGGTATAATCAAAAATGATGTCTATACGTTGATCTTCTTGACCGAAATTTGTAATTGGCATCAACAGATCGTCTTCTCTAATGTGTTTCCAGGATGAACGTTCATCAATGAGACCACTCGGGCAATAATATACATGATTTGCGATATCCAAACTGAGCAACAGAAAGATGAAATAGGATTACCAGAAGAAACAATGAATTGAAGTTCAAGTTAAGGTTACAAATAGATTTTTACTTAGTGGTCATTGAGATTCAGATATTTAATTCAGATAACGATAATTTCTGCAAACCAGGATTTATTGATGGCATGAACTTTGTTCGAGAAGTGAAAGAAAAATTGCAGAGATATAACAATAATGGAGTGAAGTATTTTGAAAGCATGGGTAATTCATTAAAGATGGAATATTAAGGAGATGGAGATTGAATGAATCAATTCTGTTTCAGAAAGAAGAAAATTGCAATTTGTTTCGAATCAGAAAGGGAAGATAGAGACTTAAACTCACTTAATTATTTTTGCTTATTTGTGCAGTGATCTCACCATCCTGCATGTTTTCATCTATCAAAGATGAATAATTACCACGATGAATTAATTAACCTGCTAAGCCGTTCATACTCTTTCAGTATATTTAATGTTTGTAACATTGTGTAGTCGCCGTATATTTCTACAATTTGCTGCTGACGAAACACTTTGTCAGAATTTCGTAACGGTATGAAGGCTGTCAAGCGAACTTCCACTAAACGAAGGCATGGCCTACTTTTCAGTACAGTTGGCACTATGCTTTGATCACTCTAGAAAAAATTCTTATTAAGTGAGAAATAAATTAATTAAATCTTAACAAGTGAATAATAAGTAAAATCTTAAGTTTTTCATTCCGAAATGAAAATGAGTTGAGAAATATGCTCAAACAAAATCCCTGTTATCATTATGATACGGTTTTCTTCTTTTATACATTCGAATTTCCATTAGTACTTTATCAGTTGTAGCCGTCCTGTGTGAAGACATAGCGGTAATTTCTTGGTTCTTGTGAGAACGTCGATGACCATTTGTATACATCAGATCTGTTTGCAAACAGGATGCATTCGGGCAACCAAAGCCACCAGCTGAATAAAGAAATTATGCGGAAGAATCTTTTTTTTTCGATACTAAATGGCGTGCAATAGCGATACTTCTTTGAGCCTATCAAAACTACCGAAGAAAACAAACCAGTTTCAACAACTGGTGCTTTTTCCAAACAATCTCGACAAATGTAATGATCACATAGACCCATAATATGCATTTCACCCACTGGCTACAAAAATTACATCAGAAATCATCAAAGATACTTCTATATTAAATACTTTTTTGCCATAAGTTAGTTAACACTTCCCCAAGAATAGAACTATTTTCCTCCATCTTCAAGATGATTAATTAAGTGATAAGCTTACCAGACTGTTTAAAGCACTCAGCAAAATGTATATAGGCGATAAAACTAACCTTTATTTTTCCGCATGGTCCATCACAGTGGCATTCTCGAATTTGAGAACTAGGAGCATTAGTTGGTTGAATACGTTTACAAATGTTCATGTCTACTAAGGACATATCTTGCTTTGGAGATACTAAAATATTGAAAACCACTTGATTATAAGAAAATTCATAACTTCAGGAAACTAAACAATTAAAGAATTATCACAATCTGCAAACTTAACGTAAATGGTCTGCAACATCATTTGACCTTGACTATTTAAATTACTTGGTAGAAGAAAATCAAATAATAATGGGAAATCAGGCCGGCATGACTAAGTAATCACAAGACAAACTGATCAGGTCAATTATCTAATAGATAAAGGCAGATAAAAAGATAAAGCTATTTTTAAAGCAGTGTTTATTGCGCTTCTTCAGCATGACATCACTCTCAAAAAAGGGTCCATTCTTTGAATTCTGTGTTATATACCTCTTCAATCCTACTTTTCTTTTCATTTAGAAAGGAAGCAAGAAAGGCTTGACTAAGTTGCAAACATTAAAGTGAAAGTGACAACCAGAAATTTCATACCACTCATAAATGAGAATTGAGGAGATATAGTTGTCAATCCCACATCATCCGTTGAATTTGATTGCTTGAATTGTTGCAAATCATGCCATGTTACTGTATATGTATACAGTTGCCTTAAGTTTAACATTATCAGTAGTAAATCAACAAGAATACTGAACAACCAACTCAAACACTTTTGAAAAACCGATGACACGGTTAGAAGATTTTTCACCTTCCATTCGATTCGTTGCTGAGGCGCAGATCGTAGCTATCAATACAGCATAAGTGGCTTTTTATTGCTGGAGGCAGAAAGCGAGACATCACTTAATTTTCCAATTGCTTAAGTTTTCAATTTTTTTATTGTTCCCTTGATCCTTTGTAGGTCAGAAAGGTTCACTGAAGTAAGCATCGAATGCATGAAGAAGTGGCATTTCTAGTGATATGTGTATATTCAAACCGACTCTTCCAATCATATTCCATCAAATTTCAATAATCCGATCGGATTCGGTTATTTCGAAATAATGTCGACAAGGTATCCCGAACAATAAGAACATAAATGAGACTTACAGTACGAGTGGTAGTAAGTTGGAGAAGCAGAGAAGACTGAAATGAATTAGATTCATGAAATGATCCTTATAAATAAACAAAAATTTGCATAAAGCTTATGGAACTCAAATATTTCTCTATAAGCATTTTTTAAAATAATGCGTATTTTACTTTAATTTCTTGTGATTGGTAAACCACAACAAGGTCAAAACTAGCGACTAGGTTACATTTCATGATTAAAAAATAAGTTCTCTGACGATAATCATTTATGGTATGTTAACATAGAAATCCCGAAATCCCTGAAAAAAATTAATGAAATTTTTAATTCCTAAAACTAATTACAAAATTCAAAACTCCTGCAAAATTTCTCAATATGACTCATCTGTATGTAATTTTCTGCTTTTTTGCACACGATTGAGTGTATGACAAATCTTTAGAAGGAATTGGGCTAATCTTATTTCGATTTCAATTTCTGAACGATAACTATCTCCTAGGCATGACCCTTTTATTGCAGGATAACTAACTCCAGTAGATTGGTTGCGGAGAAATTGAAAATTATGTGCATTCTCTTGAGGTAGACATCAAATTTACGTGACTAACGATTATTGTGACGCATCTTCATCCATTTTTCCTCTATTTTCTTCAGTAAAAACAAATACTTGTAAACATTTATTAAAAAGTATAAATACACAATATTTACACATGCAAATGATACATTAACTATGGTTTTTTAACAGGCTTCCATTTAGTATGAATACCTTTACTTAGCCCACGCCTCTTTGAAATTAAGTTTGTCCTAACACTAGTGATCGCTGATGGTGCATCATCACGATCAATAGATGCGATACCCACCAGGGTTGATGGTTCTTCTTCTCGACTTTGATTTCTCCCAACACTTTCACGAATTTCTTCCGAATTGTTATTTTTGCAATGCTTACCCACATCACTTTGGCATTTTCGAAATAGCGCACGCAGCGTACGCATCTGTTTAGAAAATGATACTCGTTAGAAAGAAAGAGTCTCTGCAAAAGTGACTTTTTTTTTCCCGAGGCAGAAAATTTTTCTGGTTCGTCGAAAAACTTTCCGAAAATTTTAGCTCTAATATCCATGCTTGAATATAATGAACGGGGGAGCAGTATACGAATTTTAACAAAGCGTATTAATTACTGTTCAATTACTTTTACCTGACTATTCGTTTTTGAATCTTTGAGGTCATCCAGCTGCGTCGATTGTGATTTCTGTAACATAAATGGATTCAGTGGGCATCTCTCCAGCGTATTTTAACTTGAAAAATTCAACATATTTTGATTATATTGATCGGAAGTGAAGAAAAAATGAAAACTCATACGAGCTGTATTAGTTCAGGTGTTGTCGTTGCCTGGAATAAAATTTGGTGCTCTTTCCGCTTATTCAAATACAATTTCCCATCTCCTCCTTGCTTATCATTTGTTGTTTCTTTTCCCTTCTTCGTTGAAGCTTTAAAACAATTTAAATAAATAAAAATCTAAACGGAAGTCAGAAGGTTAAAGAAGAAACAAAAATCATCGCATATATGTTATAACAAAGCTTTCCGGCTTTTCCAACATTTACATTTACATCCAGTAATGAACAGTTAATTATAATTTTCAATTCAATTAGTTTGGACTTCTGAAAGCCAATTCAGATCTTTTTCATCTAATTTCAGTTAAAGAAATCTAAATATGTTAGAAATCGGTAATATATCACCAAAGGTTAGATTTTTTTCATCCTTCCAAACTATTCAGAAGGAAACCTTTTTCTCGACCGATTAAATTTTTCTCACTATTTTGTGTTGATTCTATTAATTTAATTAACTCTCGGTTCATATTTTCCTCGACTTTAGTTTGATTTGGTCCCTGCAACTTCAAATTTTCCTAGGATAATTCAAAAATCAAAGATTTCAATCACTGCTGTTGCAATTTATCTGTAGCACATTATTAACATGAGAACTGGCAAATATATGTGGAGGAAAGAGAAATTTCATCGATTAAATATGAAATAGTACCGGTTCAACTAGACCTTCCATGTCTTTATCTGCATGCAGAATGACTGATTCCTGGCGTATTTTCTGCAAATCCTATTAACAAAATTCTCTTTTAATTTTCATGGATTGAAAAACTTCTCTACTGTTCTCAAATTTGAAGGAATTTGCTGTCTTAGAACATGAGAGTAAATCTGGATCATACCCTCGCTTTATCGATATGTGCGCCTTTTCTTTTGAACACACAACCAAATCGAACTAATAACACAAATGTACCGATTACTGAAAGAAGTGCTGAAAGAACACTGTTAAAAACTGAAACTTCACAGCTACCGCTCATGGCAAATCATTACATAAAAACTAATTTAAATATAATAAACGGGTCTTTTTCTAGATCTTCACACACATGATGATTTATTACAAAAAATATGAAACCAAATTTAATTCTCAGCTTAAATATCATTAACCATTAATACTCGTTTCATCTGCCACAACACCACCAATTTTGACCAGCCTGTTTTATTGATATTCGGTATGAAAACCTTCAAAGTAATACCCTGCAGGAATAAAATCCGGAAATATAGTTAAACTATTTAAAAAAGTAGAAATTCTTCAACCTTCTCAGTAGACTACATAACATAATTCAATAAATGTTGGAATTCATTCAACTGTTTAGTGACTACTACAGTTGCCTATGATTTAAAGACACTGCGAAACTGCTCTAAAACATGAGAAACTTTAAATTAGAATCGTGCAAATATTCTCAAAACGATACGACCAAAGCACTTCATAAAATGTTTAGTGACACAGGAACTTTTACTAGAAAGGTCTCATATGAACATATCTCCTTCCCGAAATTTTTTAAAATGTTTTCCATTATAAAGCGAGAGAAAAAAAAGGAGTGAGAAGGAAACATATGAACTTGTTGCCTAGATGACACTGTCAATCATTTCTTTCAATCCTATTAACATTTAGGAAACGCAAAAAGGTCAACTGCATCTTTCTCAACAAATGATTTGATGAAAGAAATGAAACCTAAACCAGTCATTTGTCATCACTGGATAAGAATATAGACCATATCATAAAACTAGGTCACTTTTCACTACGAAGCCTTGAAAACAAATCACAATCTGTTAATTATATAAACTTCAATAATGCTGAACACAAAAATCAAAACTATGAAAAAGTCAAATTGAAATCTGTCCATAAGAAATCAATCATTTATATATTTGAGCAGAATAACTGACATTTACAATAAAAGAAGATTACGTATTGCGAAGTAAGCTAGATAACAACAATTATGAACAAATAAAATGCGTATTATCGTTGAAACATATGTTTTAACAATAAAAAATAACAAAAATCACTGAAATAGAAGTCTGATGGAAACTTTTGATACAATAAAAAGATCGCCAAATCTTTCACGAGAATTTAGTCCTTTCATTATGTTAGATTAACTGTAAGCACACAACTCAGAAAATATTTCCTCCAAGTCACTATGTTTGAAAATTCGCCAATAACATAATAAGTTTCCAGAAAAATTAAAGCAGTGTAGAAACTAACTTCGAGAGCATTAACAGTGAAAAGTCCCAATATTTGGGAATATAAGATAATATATACCACCTCTTCTTTGAAGCTTCTAAAAAAGACGAGAATTTCCGTAATTTCTTCGAAAGCTGTTAACTTGGAATCATTTTACAATTTGAAGGCTGTCAACTTGGAATCACTTTCACCGCTTGGCATAAAACTGAACACTGGTATAAAATCCAGCTACTAATAAGTGAATATGAAAAGCGAGTTCATTATTTAAATATCAAATTAAGGATAATAATCGTAATCTCTGGCAAATTTAGAAACTGTCCAAAATTCTTTAATTGAAGTTCAGTGCTTAGAAAACCGAACGCGCTCTCCAAATACTCGTATGAATGTTTGGGTTACACTGGGCATATTTAAAGCTCAAAAGCTAAATTAAATATAAATAAGGTGAAATATGAATTGAACTTGAAACTTTGACACTTCTAAGAGTTTTAAAAAATAGAAATAATATATAAAATGCCACAAGTCAACTTTGCTAGTAGAGGCAATCGTGAATTTTGTACTGGGTTAGCAATTTTCAGAAAACTAAAATCCTGATTTTCCCGATGTTTCCACTCTTAAAAACAATCAGTTAAATGAAAACTGGTCTGAAATTTCGATATGAAGCTCCTTTTAATTCGATAAGTGTTGATGCTTCTGTTACTTTTCGCTGTCCAGCCCTAAAAAATTCGTACCATAAAAATAACGCTACATTTCTTAGTGAAAAGATGGCGAAAATTTTCAGCTACCAAAATGATTTATGGTAAAGTTTTGCAAATTTATTATTTTACCATTTGAAGTTTCATTTCTTTATTATTTTATTATTTGAAATTTTATTACTCATGTCTCAAATAAATGGGTCGAAGACTCACTGTCCGAGTTCTGCACTAATAAAGAAATAAAAATGAAAGGGATGATTTCTTTTCCTCGAAAACTGATTTAAATAATTAGTTTTTTGATTTTTGGAAAAAAATCAAATACCTTTCTTTCACTACTTTTAGCTGCTTCTGTATGGCATCACGCATTTCTAAAACTGCCAGTGTCTTCTTCAATATCGACTTCTCAGTCTATATTTAGTTTCATAATTAAAAAACTAAAGAATCAAGTGAATAAAAAATAAATCCGCCCACAAAACTTGAAAAACTTTATTAAACGCTAATCTCAAAAAATCCAGATACTGATATTTGTAAATTCTGACCCTCATTATGTTATTTGTTACTACTGCTGGTGTTAAAAAGAATTTCAAATCATTAGAATTTCAGATCTAAAGATCAGAATAGTTTTGTAATTGTGTAATAAATAATATGGCAAAACAAAAAATAGTTTTACTTGACTATCAGGAGAAACAATTGAGGTACCACTGTTCTGAACTTCTTTGAGCTGCAGTTGAAGGTTTTTATATTCTTCATTCACTTCAAACTCAGATACTCGAAGTTTCAGTTCTTCTTCACGTTGTTTCAATTGTACCATTTCCTGTACATACAATAACCACTGCTCCAGTATCCACAAATTTTCTGCATCTGTACAGGTAAAAAATAACAATCCAAATTGTATATAGAGCAACAAGAGATTTAACTAAATTAGCTTACTACACTATCTTCATTCCTGAATTTTTAATTCACAATTGCATATATGCTTACAAATAAAAAAATATTAACTTTCTTCGGAGACTAACATAAGAAAATACCATCAGATAAACGTCTTTCCAAATCTCCAGCCACTGCTTCCACTTCTAATTTCCGGACATCAATTTCTTCCAATTCACGCTGCAAGTCCTGTGCTGCACTGATGCGTTCTTGTTCTTTTTGTTTTAAGATCTTTTCAGCTAGTTTCTAAAATCTTAGATAAACTAATAAAGAACTTAACAAAGCCACTTGAAATTCCACATGATTATCAATATCTGATTACTTTCGTAAATAGAATCATATCCGATTCTTTTTTTTTTTTTTTCTTTTTTTTGTAAACCTAACTACTAAATCATACTGAAAATAGAGTCATATTTCAAACCATTTCACTTAATATATGTGATATAAAAGCCTTGACGGAAGTTTGGAACCAAGATTGCTAAAAATTAAAACTTTATCGTTCTGCTATTGGACGAAAAAACCAACAAGAAGTTTTAGAAATTAATGATTTGTAAAAAAGTCACCTGAATACGACGAATATCTTTTTTCGTGAACAAAGTGGGTGATAATTTGTTTTCTGAAATGTGATTTTTACTGGCCAAAAAAAGTGAAAGAAACAATACAAAAATTGATATCCTGGAACTTTAATGGATATATTTGATAGTATATAAAAACAACATATTAACTGTCATAAACAACATAGAAATATGAATGTCAAAAAAATACACAGATTAATTTTTAATTACTGATTTGAAAAGATCTATACAAAAAAGTAGGAAGCGAGATAAGAGTTCTTCTAACAACACTTGGAATATAAATTATAAATATTCTTCCAGCAAGTATATGAAATCAAGTACTAGTTAGATATAACATTGAAATAATGTGCAAAAATTACCAAATAAATCAGTATTAGTGCTGTTAACAACAGAATGCGAAGAGGAAACCGTACGTTGGTGAAAAATTGAATGTTTCTTTTCTGATGAAGTACTGAGTGCATGAGAGACTGACATGCTTGAACATCGAGAAAGCACCCTTCCTCCTGAACTAATTACATAAGAAACCTTCCAAATCCAGATGCAACAAGATGCTTTTGGAACAAAACGATACATAAATCAAGTTTTACCGCAAATTAAAACATATGATGCAACTTAAAATAAAAAAATGTACATATCAAAAGTTGAAAGTTCACTTTCTAAAACAGCACTATGCTCTGCGTTTTACAACTCTAAAACATTGCTATCTTTTCGCATTCGCAATATTCAGAAACATGAAAATTTACCCAAGGCACCATGGTTTTGATTTTTGAGATCTGTACCATGTAAATTTGAATCCTGAAAGATTTGACTATGTAAATTTGAATCCTGCGGAAATCACTACTTTCAGTTTGAATTTTGTAGGATCCACAATCAGCGACTATACAAGAATGCTCCTAGGCAGAGAAGATTTCACTAACATAACTGAATTATGAAATGTAGCATCCATTCATGGCATCATCTGTTCATAATTTAGCATGACTGAGTTATCTATTTATTTCAACAATTTCATTCGAATTCACAAAGCAACTAACTATTTGATCTGCCTTGTCAGTAGATTGCAGAGCCTTGACTCTTTCAGCACTAAACAATTGGGCTAGAAGACCAAGATCTGGAATTGTGCTTATACCATAGTGATGAAATCAATAATTTTTTGTCACAAATGCTTTTCTCACTTCTGTTTAAAACCTCAATTTCTCTTATATAGCGTTGATAATGCAACAAGAACACTGGTTTACTCACGATTATATTTGGTTCAAAGAAGTGATTAAGCAAACAAAGAAAAAAACCCACTTGACTGCGCAGCTAATTGTGATTGAATTGCATCCGCTTCCTGAGAATAATCGTCACTTGATGATGAAAAATGAGTAAAATCAGATGTTCTCTCCATTGAAGGCGTTGTACAAATCCTCTGGAATGAGAATATTTTAATAGATGTTTCAATTCTACATACAGAATTTCATTCAGCAAACAAACTGCAAACTGTATCCATCACTATAAGCTAGATTTTTTTTTATTAAATAAAAACATTTTGGTATCAATGTTAGATTCAGCTGCACAAAACCATAACTTAGTCGGAAGCGTTGTATGATAAGTAAACTAAGAAAACTCTTATCTTTCTGCTGTAAACATATTAGATTTATTTTTTGTTATGACATAGAAAAGAAAAGCAGGTTTTTCCCTTTTTTTTCTGCATTATAAATTAATTCCCTTTTTTTACCCAGTCCAAATCAGTACTTCAATATCCTTTCGACTAAGATCCAGAGAAAGATGGCGAGGAAAACGTGACATAACTCTCGACGACTGCTTGGGTATCGAGTGACGCTTAATGGTTCTGCATAATTCTGAAACATGTATCAAGGAAATCTAGCAACAAAAATTTTATACGCCACATTATACACTATAGAAGAAAATTTTATGTCAAGTTTCTTAAATAGTTGTATCGAAAAATACTGACTGCTCAGCACTAAAAACAATTAAATGGAAACAATCGTGTACTAGTAAAAATAAGTTACCCAATTGTTCATTAGTTTTCATCATAGCCTGTGTACAAGCCTTATTTCCCATATCATTAATTCCCATGAATGGAGCCAACACTTGCTAAAATATTTCCAGTTTTATAAATACAATGACAAAGCTGAAAACTGCTGAAAAAAATATTTAATTTTAAATTATAACTACATCATTGCGACTCTATTAAGTTTGAGATATCTCTCGACCTTCCTTTATTGAAATACAATTGACTTTCATTTTCTACTAATTTTACTGCCCATATTTTCTTATAACACGAATTCATTTATGTGAACAAACTTGAAATTAAAGACTTAATTGAAGAAAAAAACACGACATAGTAAGCGACAATTACTGGCAAATAAAGATAATCACTCAGCAAATAATTACTGACAAATTACTTTAAAAAACCTATTATTTTCAAAAAATGTGAAATATTACTTTTTTGAATATATAATGGTGGTTCTTTTCAGGCAAATCTTTCGTTATTTTCACCGCAGTTGATCCGACTGTAGTGACTGCTGTCATTTCGTTTCTGTTTTTGATAATAGTGGCATCAAAATTTCCGCTAGACTTCTCGCATTCTTGTTCTAATGACAGAATATTCGTGTGTTGTTCTTGAAATCTTTGCTGCCTACGTTCTTTGAATGTCTTCAAGAGTTTCAACGCCTAAAAGCAAAATAACTTAATGAGCTCATAAGGTTACAGCAAGAAAATAATTGCAGACAGCAATATTAGTGGTGCTTGCAATACACTGCATACACTTTTTAGATGTGAAAACTTCAAAATGAGACAGACGTATCTATTACCAAATAAATGAACCATTTACTCAAATAAGGGTAAATACGTTTTATAAGTTGACGCATTAAAGAATAAGACAAAAGTCTTTCAAAAATCATTTCATTCTTGATAATGTAATGCTAACTTGACTCTTCTAAAAGAAGATTAGTTTCTGAAAAAACTTCTGCAATCATTAACATTAAGTACAAAATGAAATTGTAAAGATTTACCTGTGCTTCAGTTAACGATCTACTCATACTTTCATCAAGATTTTCCAGCACAACTGATTCTAAATCGACTAATTCATCTTCCATGAAATCACTGTCATCATCATCGTCATCATCTTTACCAGATGATAAATATTCATTCTCATTTTCTGAAAATGAGAATTATTATCAGAACTTTTGTAATCAGAAGTGATTACAAAAGTGATCTGCATGGCGGCTAGATAAAATGCAAATTTGCATCATTTCAACGATTAACGTTGAAATGAAGGATACTAAAACTTAATATCCGAACTTGAGCTACCGAATTCATAATAAGCTCGAAAATTACAAAAACTTACCTAATAATTCCTCATCACTGAAATTGTCGTGACCATTGGAACAAGTTTCATTGCCGATAACTGAATATTCTTTTTCTTTCTTGGTTATCTGAATCAAAATCAAAATTCAAGCAGTCTGATTAAACCAATAATAATAATGGTAATAATAATAAGTACGGAAAAAATTCTAAAGATGCATCTCAGACAGATAAAAATTCATTATAATTTCCGAAAACTACGGATCAACCAGACAGATTTTTTTTAGCTTAGTAAATTCAATTAAATTGCAAATTAACAAGCTAACCTTTTGATCGTATATTTCAAACTCGGCGCGCTCTCGCATCACTTGTTGATGTGATGACAATAATCCACGAACCGCTTCTTTCTGGGCACGCATTTTTTCCATTGTTTTTCCAAGGAGCATGGATGGTGAGTTTCGTCCAGTTCGTTGCATAGCGACAGATACTGCAGATTGCTGAAACTTAAACTACCAATAAAAACAGTACAGTATTAATTTTCAGCTCAATGAAGTAAAAGTATTACAAATCTAGAGATAACTCGTGACCGGTTATTTTTTAATTTCAACTATTTTAACTTTATTCATTTTCCTCGCGTTAAGCAAATGGTATAACTTCCATATACTAACATTTCCACATGACGTAGTATATCCATTGACAGTATTCAACGTATCATTCAGCAGTGGCAAATATGCTCCTACAAAACCACAGTTCAAAAAGAATGCATCATCATAAGAAAATGATGGAATATGAATTTTTTTTTTTTAAATTAATGTTATTGCTCTAAATATTCTAAACTGAATTAAAAATTAATTAAATTGCAAGAAAATGTTCAGTAGAACCACCTGCTTTACAGCCATTTTTCTCTATCCGAGTAATCTTTTCTAACACTGGTAAATTTATGTGCTGCATGCAAAAGAATCTGAAAATACATCCTTCAGCAGTCAGAAAAGAGTAACCGTTTTAAATTACCAAATGAATCCCTAATTTATCATCCACAGTGAAATCCATTATAACATCAAAAACATTAGATCCGGATTTTGGCAAGATACGTGCTTTTCCTCTTGTCATCATAATGAGAAAAGTATCTTAATCAGTCAGGCATGTATTAAATATACATTCAAATATATATCCTAATCTATTATATAACAATATAGTCAAGAGCTCCATGAAAAAATTATTACAGAAAGTCTTGTACTCTCGATTATCAAACCTAGAGAATAAGCAAAATTATTTAATACAGAATATAACTTTGAAATGAACCTCGGATTAAAACTTCGAAGATTTCGGTCTTGAGCACAATTACCAAGACGTAATGGTTGCTCACAAAAAGCACAACGAAAGCACTTTTTGTGAATGAACATTCCTTCTACCTGCATCCGTTCAGCTAAGTAAACAACTTTCAAGCATAACTGACAAATTATTTGTTGACGGGCATTAACACTATCACACGACAACCGCATAACAGGCACTGAACAAGGCCTGGAGGATTTATTTGAAGATGACGATTTACTCTGGAAGTCAAAAAAAAAAATTCTTTTTTAACAAGCAAAAAACGAAATAAAGTTTAGGGAATACTTTAATAGCAAACGACCACTGTCAAAAATATTTGAGTTTTCGGTTAAACGAAACCAAATAACCGAACTCTCATTATCTCTATTTCAGTTTGATCGTGACAAGAATTTGCCTATGTTGAACAATTACAGTACAATTTCAACTGCTTTGCAAAGTTTGTACTTGTTTCCATTATATGCAAGCATTAAAACAGGATTCTACCCGAAAAATAACACTGTGATTTTCTGGACGAGAAGCTGATGAACTGATTCTGCTTTCTTGCAAAATTGTCTTCTTTGGAGGCAGAGGTGGTGGAGATTTCTTAGCATTTACTGGTTTACCTCCATTATTTACAATCTAGAATTTTGACTTCATTCTATAACAATGGACATGAAATAATGGAATCTCTCATCAAAAATGCTCAAATTGTATCAATTTCAAATCCTTTAATAATGACCATTCACGCTGAAATCTATATACAAGCTTTAAGAGATACCACGCCATTCTTATTCTTTGTTCTGGAGACAATATCAATGCCGACCAGATTTTGATTCTTCAACAACGTTTCCGCTTTTGACAGTTTCTCGTCAATGTCCTAAACATATAATTGTTGTCCTGTAAAGCACTTTAATATAATTTTCACTAAATTATATTAAATGTAAGCATAAGGAAGGATGAGAAAAGTAAAGGATGATATTATGAGATAACCTTATATTTTTCATCGGCATGTTTAAAGCCTTCATTGACAGTCCGCCGAGCTGCTGCTGCATTCGTACATATAATCTTAAATACATTCAGTAAAGCTTTTACCTTAACAGAGGGAAGTCAGTATCGACAGATAAGGAAAAAACTAAACCTTCTATATGATTGGTACATAATAAAAATGAATGAAAAGTTGACTGATTAAAATGTAAAAGCTGTCCATCGAAAGTGCAGGAAAAAAATGAAACCACAAATTTCCTGATGAAAACAGAATTAAATGTAATAAAAATGAATGAAACTTTTAGATACCATTAGATTTGAAAATTAAATAAAAAATCAGAATTACTTTTATTAAAAATTTCACCCTCTTTCTAAGTATGATATGGCAAAAACTTAGAAAACATTGTTCACTTTTTCTTCCTTGGAGGTGAGAACCCGGTATTGTTCCTTATTGAAAAGCAAGCCCATAGCAGTCTGTTCCAGTTTCAATTTCATTTCGTCAATGTCGTGTTTATCCATTTTTCTCGTCAAAACATTTGCCAGTCGCTGTTTGTTACGATACATTTCTTCTGTCTTTTCCTTCTCCAATTCGCCACTCACGATCCTTTCAACCTGTAATTGAAATTAATAGTTGCGATAAAGTAAGAAATTAGAGAAGCACCTTTTGAAAATGAACTGAATTAAATGTAATAACCTATGACAAAGAAACACATATGAAACAAAGTGTTTTATTAGTGCATAATACTGTAGCTACTTACTACTTAGATAACTAAAAAACAAATAAAATTTGTTACAGCATATAGTCGCTCAGGGTTCAATTTCTCAACAACTGGTCGTCCAGTAATGTATTTTACAGGCTGTGATCCAGCTGACTGTATGAGAGCATTTCGATCTAAACGTTTAAATGAATATCCGATTTTTTCATCACCATTTAGTTCTGTTACTGCATCGTGAACCTGACATAAAGTTATGAAATCAGGCATCTTAAAATATTTAAAAATCTCAAAGCAAATCAAGATATTTTTTTTACTTATTTACAGTTCACCTGTAAAAATATCAGAGAAAATAACACTATCAAAATACTCAATATTAGCTTCACAAATTGAGAAAATAACGACTTCTAAATAATAGCAAAAGTGACAAGTAGCGGTTTCGAAGTCATTTCATAAAAAATTTTTTATAGCCTAATTAAAACTGAAGAATTAAGACCTTAGCAGTAAATATTATGGTAATAATTATCTCCATATACTTTCCAGAGAAAACGACAAACTCAAATCCAATCAGAAGTAAATATGAGAAAATGTAACCTCGCCTATATCAATATCCTGCTTTCGCTTTATAAAATTTTTCAGCGTTTCTTCCACCCTTTCGTTCAATGCTGCAGTCGATGCAAAGGCATTTAAAAGATCGGATGCTCGGCGACAGATTGGTTCCGTTTTCTTTGTACGAGAGGTATCTACCTGCACAAATATTTCTTATGATTCTTAAATTTCTCAGCACAAACATTGTTTATGAGCAAAAAATATAAATATCAGGCAGTATAGTTACCTGCCGTGTCTTCCGCTTATGAGATATTGTACTAGTTCTAATGGCATTCATTAGCGTTTCTCGCATTCGCTGTGAATCACTTTTGAACGCTTCCACGATGCTGCTTATATATATAACTCGTGCATCAGTGCTCACATTAACCCATTCTGCATGATTTTTACAAGGTGGTTTAATGTCATATTCCTTTTTAACTGCAGAAAATATTTTCTGAAAAAGAAGTTTGAAACAAAATATAGTTAAATGGATAATGCACTTTAAAAAAATAAGTTTTTCTTTTTTTAATTTGGAAATTAAATACTTCACGAATTAATTTTGGAATTTAGGTGCGTTTTATCAAGATCGCAAATAATTCAAAAATTTACCTCAATAACTGCATTAGGATTATCGGCAGCACAAAGCGATAAATAATCCACCAGATCGGGACGAAATTTTCCTAATAAAGCAGCTAAAGCTCGTCCATCATTCCAGCTAAATCTTGTTTAAAAAATCATGCCTCATTTTCTCTTTATGTTCCTAATTGATTGTTCGAGAAGAAAAAACACATAAATGAAATTCAAGTAAATTACCACTCCAAGAAGTTGAAAATACGCAAATGATATGCACTGAGAGCCTGGTAACAGAACTTCCACAGCTTGTATCTGCAAATTCACATCTTGATATTCTAAATGTCAACAACCTCATAGCTATAATGCAAATGTGAATCAAATATATATGCTACCAAAAATTAATGAAACGAACAACAGAATACCTTTTAATATATGTTCCACTGACACGGTCAGCCGCTTTAGTAGTTCGTAGCGGTAAGGCCTTATCCGTTTCCACATTTCGTGGATTATCCGTATCAATCAGATGACTTACTTCATGAGGTTGTACTGCCATTTCCAGACTAATGTAGCGTGTTCGTGGATCAATGGAATACTGTAAAAAATAAACTCAATCTACGTTAGCAATAAGAACTGAGCTTCAAGTACTAGCCTTTAATCGCAGTCTAATTATATTGTCAGATGGAAATATCTAGACAAGTAAAATTTCATTTAAGATATTAAAAGTTTTCCAACTTCTGCTTTATATGTGATTTGTCTATCTGCAGAAAATTTCATAAATAGACTTTAGATAAAGCAAAAAAATTGTGAAGTAATGAAAAAAAAATTCAGAATATACTTTATGAGTCTGTTTATGAAGATTATCCGGTTTCGCTTGCGCTAATAGCCGATAAACACTCTCACGTTCAGCTAGAAGTACCATCAGACCCTGTACATTTAAACCATAAGCTCTCAACATCCAAACCGCATCGAAAACACCCAGAAAGCCTCGCGCACATCCTGAGCCTGTTGGCCAGAAAGGCTGCAAGTGAAAATTCCTTCAATTTTGGACTTTTTGAAATTGCTTCTTTTTTATAAGAATGGATAAAAATATAAACAAATTGCAGGCTTGTAATCAAAAATTTATAAACTTCATGCCAAACAATGAAAATATTTTGCAGTATTTAGTAAAAATTAAACTATCCAGTAACAAATCAACAGTGACAAAAAATTACACCTTGCATTCTAGAAACAACTCACTGAAATTTCTCAATCTTCTATAAATAATACATTATTTCATTTATTCAGCGATATCAGAATTCTCTATCAGCACATTCCAATGGCCACTATTTACGACTTACTTTCAAGCCAAAGATAATTCATGTGAATCTCGTTAATGAGACATATGAAACAGCACATCCAGCGTGCAATCATGTCAACAGCAAACACAATGTGTGAAGAGAGAATTATAGTAATGCAAATGCAAATAATCATAAATTTAGTGAAGATTCTAGTCCTATTATAATAAAATAATTAATAATAATGATAATAAAATAATAACAATAATAAAAATAATTATAATAATAACAAATAATAATAATAATTAATAGTTAATAACAATAGTAATAATTAGCAATACTTAATAACAATAGTAATAATAACAGTAACAACAACAATAATAATAACAGTAATAATATAAATTGATTATAATAATGATGACTTCATGCTTTTTATTATTTTAAGATGTAATAAGATTTTTTGCATATTAGTTTTTATGAAAGTCGTGTACTCTGCACATTATATTTAATATTATCATCGAACTTTGGAGGGTATAGAAATAGTCTGAAAATTTTGTGATATTCTATTCTGGAAATTACTCGTATGTATATGGAGTTAACGCCAAACAATGTGACCAATAATAAATAAATAATAATAAGCAATATGTGGTAAATGATAACATAAATCATAATAAATGGTAAAAATAATAAAACAAATCAATTATTATTTATTACCGTACATCAGTTTATTTCTACATATTAAAAAAACCCACCTCATGTAAACTGTCTCCAACAATCGACATTAATAATCGTCGATCGCATCGTTCGATGAGCCGTACCGAACACTGCGCCGAAAACAATGATGTAAAATCAAACATTGCAACATCTTCACTATCATTATGATTTCGTGCATATTTCAAATTAGGAAGGTTACCACCAGTAGCAAAATCAGCTGCCTCTGCTGCATAATCGCACAATTTTTCCTGAAAGAAAAGCTGAAGGAACTTGAATAGATTTCACCCAATAAAATTTCTTATGACAACTACAAAAACAGATAATAATAAATATAATACCTGGTTTATATTATTAGGCGATAAAAGAAGCGATACATCCTCATTATCCTATAAAAGAATAATAATATTACAAAAAGTGAATACTAGATTAAAAATTTTCAAAAAAAAATTCTCATTCTTATAAAACTTTGGTTCAAATAGCAACAAACCTCAACAATAACGCCTTTTTCCAACAAACTTTGTTTCTTAGCACACATTACGAAATAATGCGTTTCATCTTTATAGTAAACGATATTCTCCAAATCGACACCTGTTGCTTCTTTCATGTCTTTGAAAAATTGTTGATTGAAAATATAAGCAACACCACTGAAATGAAACAAAGAGAAGGTCAAAATGAAAATTGATAGAATTACATAAAACTGAATTCCTGTAATTGTGAGAGACCATTTCAGTAATAACAACATTCAATAGTTGAATTAAGATAAATGACTGGAAAAAGAAATAGCACAAAGATCGGAATTTCACAAAGCACACCTTCAGCTTCAGCATTTATACCTTTTTACATTCTTCTCAAAAGCAAAAAAAAAGTAAATCATTATATAGAGAACCTTATTTCTTGTACTTTTTCTTCAGCTAGCGTTCGTTGATTCACAAAATTTGCGGTTATTCCAATCGCCAATTTGCCACGCAATTCTCGTTTCGGAAAGCCTGAAGACTCTTCCATTAAGTCGTTAGCTGGGTTTGATAATAGCAGCGCATGAATAACAAATAAAATCTAGACCTGGTACTGTGTTACGCTTTCCATCTGCACCTATTAAAGCATCAAAGACAAAATCCGACAAAATATGCCTTGGAGGATAAAATTCTGCTCGCCATCCTTCCACTATAATTCACTGTGAATAACATAAAACAAAATACGAATATATTTGATGGACAAAAAATGCTTCTCTCATCTATTAATTAACTTCAAATAGTGCTGAATTACCTATTCCATTCTCGTTACACTTGGGAAATATTAGGCGCTGAAATGTAATAGAATCATGTATTTGAACACCCAGAACTAATGCGATTTTCACCAAAAATATTTGCAGCTGGCGTATGCCTGCAAAAAATGGAATCCAAGTAAGATCAAATAAACACTTCAGGAAGAATAACACAACAAAAAATATGACAGTCAGAATCCATGCAATATTCCTATATGGAAGCAGCTTACAACCAATACAAAATGAAAGTTAAATTTAAAAGAGTAAGCTAATAAAGTTTTGATCTAATAAGTAGTATAATAAAACAAGGCCATGAATTAACAATAAATTTTCAGTAACAACAAACTAACTTATATGATCAATGCTACCGCGACAAAATTTTGGGTAAAATATTTTGATCCCCAAATTTTTGAGATCCTGTATAACAAATGGCCAAAGATGTAGGACATTGTTTCTTGAAAAACAATCCCGTTGTTCCACCAAAACAACGTAAGCTCCCAATAATGCACACTCAATAGCTGATCGCAAACCACATGGTCCTTAAATTAACTTTTATTTCTATATTACGTATAAACTATCTTAAACAAATCTTACCATACCCTGATTCATAAAGTTTATGCAATATTTTCGATTTTCGTGATAAGCTTACGATTGACAAACCTAATTTAAAAAATACAAAAATAGTAAAATTTCATAGATCTGGTGGTGAAATTCAGAACAGCGAAAAACCCAACCAGCTCCAATGACAAGTACACTCAAACATTCGCACGCTTTCTGGTGACAGTATTCTTTCTGTTCGGCTCGTTTTTCTAATAGTGACCACAACTTCTGTGCACGCCAATCGTTCAGTACTGTTTTTAACCTGTAGATAGGAAGATGTAATTCAAAATACTGAAATCGAAATCAGTATTCATGCACTATTCTTGTTCGCTTCAAGAGATTTTTTGAGTTTCTCAATTTAATCTTACTTAACATTAATTACTTAGGACTGAACATTTTACAGATTGCAAAAGCAATCTGTTTGGAACTATCACTTTCTTAGGCGGAGATTTACAGGTCTTACATTTCATTCATTTCCATTTCTTAATTATTCATGCTCATTCAAATTATATGTGCATACCTAAGAATGAATAATTTACTTATTTATTGAAACCAAAGTTTTGCCACCTTCGTTTTTTGTGTCCTTTTGGTTGATCCGTTTTTTCGCTCTCTGACTTCATTTATTAAAAGACTATGAACTAATGATTCATTCTCATAGTTTAATCAAATTACATGTGACTAGAACCTAAATCTAATTATAACTAAGAAATCCAGTGTTATTCAAAGAGATGGTTGTTTCCAATTTTTGATTGTGTCACAGAAACGTTCGCAGTATGATGCATAAGCCAACTTCAACTAATCAGCTGCTGTATACCTGTCCATGTTAGTCAAACCCCACAAAGTTATGTAATGTATGTAATTGTAAAGTAATCACTGACAATTGTTATACCTTCTAAAAACATTGAAATTGTCGTACGGATCGATATCCAGCAGTGCACATAATTGAGCGAACAGCTGCTGAATTTTAGTAAAGCTTGTAGCTGCGGCAAAAGCATCGAACAATCTGTTAGCATCCATACATACTGTAAACACACGAGAGACATGCGCGGAATACTATTTGTTGTTAATGATCCGACGCTAATCGTTGTTTCATTTAAAAGCGAGGATAAAAGCGCCCAACTTCTGCGCCAATATAATTAACATATATTCAGTACACACACATATATCAACTAGCTCTTTATTATATTTACTATTAATTGTGGAAAGAATTCATTAAATGTTTCCGAATTCAATAAATATCATTTCTCCCTGGTTCCATGAAATTGCTACTCTTACTGGCAATAGGCTGTTAAAAATTAAAGACCATACTCTAATGAATCATCTCTTAATTGAATTTTTGTAATATGAAGTGGGGTGATGAAAGACGAGTAACAAATTGTTCTGTGAATTCAATCTTTCTCTCCCTCTCTTTCTACTCTTGCAGATTCGCTATATAAATCTTAAGTTTTAATTTGGAACAATCCCAGCTATATAAAGTTTTATTTCTTAGTCATGTATTGCAGATATTCAAGGTACCAGAGTAGATAGTGGAATATTAAAACACGGGCAAAATTAAAAATTCTTGCGCTGTTAAAATTTAAAAATGTCTGCAATGATAGAATTAGTTAGTGAAATTCCATACAACTCCAACTTTACCAGTGGTTTTTTATCAAAAGTTTTCTTTCTCAATTGCCACTGATAATGATATTAAAGTAGTGGCAAAACTGACGACAATGACAATTAAAACCAATAAAATAGTGATGTGAATGTTCCCTTAACACATCTCCATCATTGTGTTTCATAGAACACATTTGATGACTTTAAACCAACTTCCATTTGCCCATTCGAAATATGTATTTAAAAAATGTGGAAAGACATCTAAAGAGGATGAAGGAAGGCGCAAAAGGGACGTTATTAGTGCTCAGTTCTCCAGTCTATAAAAGGTTACGGATGTTGTATTGCTGCACCTGTGTGCACTCGTACGTCTATGTTCATAAGTAGAACGACAAATTAGGCCAAACAGCACCTTATCATAACTTTCACTTGGGAACAGCGGCGCAAAGTTTGTTCTCAGCATTTGTCCTCTCTTTCTCATTTCTCGGTAACAGTAATAAAATAACTGATTACAATGAATATTATCTTTAAATTAGGAAACAAATTTGTTATTTACATTGCTAGTTCGCAGTTATTTAAAGTTACAATATTTCAAAATCTTATTATTTCATCAAGTCCGACTTCTAATCAAATTCCACACAATGAATGTTGAAATTTTGTAGTTTAAATTCGTTTCACACCTCTAAGTTTTTCAAATGATTTCTTCCATATTTATCCGTATCTACCATCCTTCCACATTTACTCATCGACAGAAAATAGCACTAATACTTTATTTTTCAGCTATCTGGAATCGAAAAATATTAATTGCAGTTAACTAATATCAGAAGTTAGTTGATCGAGTTTTAACGAATGCATATTATAGTCAATTCGATTCAAAAGAGGTTAAAAATTGATGGAATGTTAAATTTAGTAAAAATACGAAGATAAAATTTACGTAAAAACTAATAAGTAATATCCACTACTTAAAGCAATGAAAAATTTAAATCCCACCAAAATAAAAGAAACATTCAACTGAAAGTGATTTAAATTACTCCAAAAAATGAATTCGAGTTCTCTTTGCATCAGTCATTTTACTGTACAATTTCGTAAAAAACAGAACTGCTACTGCTATCATTTCCGGGGATCATATCAGAATCTGAACCATTATTACAGTACCACTTTTCCGAGGTAATTTTTTATTTCATTTTAAACAGTTCGAACGCAGCAAACAAGAAACATTGGAAAAGATTTTTTTGAGTTTTCGTGTAATTCCATGGAAGAGACACAAATTTCCGAAGGAAAAGTGAAGAAGAGTTCACTAATCAACAGGAACAAACTTCCAAAGATCTTTCCCAGTAAAATCTTCAAATAAAAGGCAACAATAGCAACAGAAATAATTTGAAAAAGAATTATGATAGGATATACGTACGTAAGATGACGTATGATACAGAAAATGCACAAGCTGCAGTCATGAAAAAGAGTTCTCATGCTTTCATTATTAAACATTGCGCACTTTAATTGATTAACTAACCAATAAACACAGCAAATCATTTCATCCGTAAATGCCAGAATTTTACATTTTAGAGTTCAATTCTTAAGTAAAACTCAGGATTGAAAAATTTTCCGTAAGAAGTGCTACAGTATTAGTTTGATTGCAGTAAACTTAAGAAAAAGTTGATATCAATTAAAACTTATACCTACGAACATCATTACTACCAGCAATAATTAAACAAAAGCGACAAAGCTTATTTCAGTATACATCATTAGAGTTATTCTTATTAAACAAGTACGAAGAGGATCATCCAAGGAAATTTTTCCGATCACTTTAAGTGAAATTTTCTTAGCTTCAGCAAATACAGAAAATTTTTTTGTTTAGACAGAAATTTTGAGCCGCAATCTGCAAAAAAGTGACCAGCAGAAGTAATTCAAAACTTGAAAAGATAGGTGCAGAAAAAAAGAACTGAAAGTTCTGGAGAGGAGCAAATACTAACAACTAATACAGTATGTATTCATCGAAATTTCAGAATTCTTCGGAATATTTCCTATCATTGATGATGAGGTTATACATACTTACAAAAGTGTAAAACAGCTGAAGTTGAGCAATTGTCACTGCAAAGCATTATTTTAAATCGAAAAATCAGTTTGGTAAATCGTGTAAATTCTATCTTATAAACTGTTCTGCTTCAATAGCGGATAGCTTTATTACAAAAATGAATTGATTTTTATCGAAGCTAAATTGCTACGTAAAAAAATAAAATGAGCATCGATACTTTTATCATATTATAAAGAAACACACATCGGTGATTGAATTTAATAATGGGAAGAGTAACGAGGATGATTTAATTCGTTAAATTTAAACAAAAGATTTGGACTCACAATGTTCTTGCACAGTGTGCACAAAAGATAATCACTAATTGCGATATCTGTTGGTTTCGAAGAATATGGGAGAAATAATTATGTTTGTGAGATGAATGGAATGGTACTGATGATTAATTCACACAACAACAAGCAAAACTTGCAGTTAGCCCTCGTCTTCATCAACTCGAAAGATGAACAGATTGTGAGCTGCGTTAAAGAACTTTACGTAAAGCTCAACAGCTTACTGTTAAGCTCTCGTTTCAACAGTTTAGTAGCGTGAAAGGATACGAGTTATACAACTTTGGCAGCAAAAGGGGACCAGAGAGCAGACGACAGAGATGACGATGCTATCCTCAGCGTTATGCATAAATAACACGCATGATGGGACAATAAGTGATCGCTGCAATCAGTGCGATCACCACGACGAGTACAAAGCCAACTGTCTCAGCTGCGGGACGCACGAAGACACTGCAAACAACCGCGTACTGCCTCGTGTTGTGTGCGTGTGTGTATGTATGCTGAGAAATAGACAGACTAGTGCATAACAGAACGTGTCCCACTATTACATAAAAGAAATAAAGGGATTAAATTTTGTTCGATGGGTGCTGTGCTGCAAAGAATGCAGGAGACTCTTGACGAGTCTCGTTCTGTTCTGTTACACAGATTGTCTGATTTTATGCTGGCATTAAGTGATCATCGAGAAATATGACTCATATCTTTGGAATAATCTTTCAGTACAAGCATTCTCATTTGACTCATATAAACTTTCTTGGCTCTAGTTCGCTTTGTCACTGACGTAGAATTTCTAACCACCTTTCTCGAATATTTCATTTGCATAGGGAAGTTGTTCTTATTTTTGATAAAAAAATTTATTATTTGCAAACCACATATAACAGGTAATGGAAATGGCACTTAGATCGAATTGGAAAAAATATGTTGTCGTATATTGGTCTTCACGCGAAAAACCTTATACGAGAAAACCTTATACGAGCCATAAATTTAAAATTTTAATGTACAGTGCAGGTGAAGGATTGGAAATTTTCATCAGAATTTTGTTAAATGATATCTGTAATCCTGGTTAGAAATCTCTCCTTAAAGGTTTCAATTTCCAAGCTCTTGACCACAAACTTTCTTTCTTAATTTTCTTTTCGTAAGAAATTCACAAAAATAGTTAACAGTTGAACACAATTTAAAATCTAAGAAATGAAACAATAATCATCACAAATGCAATTACGATTACTTCACAACGGCAGTGACATAAAACTAAGTACACTACGCACGAATGGTCCAATTACAGTTATGTGATGATCACCACCTCTATTAAAAATTCAAACTGATACAAATTAAAGCTGTTTGGCTATAACCTCAAAAAAGATGTGATTGGTCGCAATGTCGAAATGATTTTAAATTATTAGTTTCATATTAAACTTATAATCTTCAGATTAAGAAAGACCGTAAAAGTTTTGCAAGTTAGCAAAAACCAGTGGCAACACTTGGTCTTTGTTATTATATGTTTACAGTCATTCTGAAGTTATTGTATTATACTGTTTTCTAAAACAGCATAATCAAGAATACTGATATTCGAAAATTTCACATTTATGTTTGCAAGAGAAATGGTTTTACAATTCTTTAAAAACAGCATCCAAGTGCGAAAGCACTTCATTTTTCTCATATTTATAACCTAATGCTTTTAACTGCTCACCCAGCATCACCACACACCTTCCAAACAAATCCGTACTTTCCCGCATACTGTTGTTGTTAATTAATGTACTCGAAATTCTCTTTGTTGAACTTCGAAGAAGCATTAAAAACTGGATCATCGCTCCATAACTGAAAACGGTCCTTAAGAAAACAGAGGTCGTATTTACAAACCGTAATTGCTATATCCATCTTAGTAAAGATTGAATTAAAAAATCTTTTTTTTAAAAAGTCTATTGACTTTCAACCAGTGTAGGAATAAAACGAAAGAAAAAAAAAATACCAGTGGATTTCATCCTCTTTCATGATATTTGCAAATGGGATACGACTTTCAATTTGATTCTTGAGATAAACAAGCATGGAACTGTAAAACACAAATAATGAATGCT